TGATCGACTCCCGACCTCTGCGCTATCCCTAAACCGTCGCACCCACTGTTAGTTACGACAGCAGCAGCAGCAGCAGCAGCAGCAGCAGCAGCAGCAGCAGCAGCTGGACTCTTCTCTTCCACGGCAGACAGCACTCGACCGATCCTACCCCTAGATGGCCACAGCATCAGCAAACGGCGACAGCGGCAATCTCACGAAGCGCGAGGATAGTGGGTCCACGCACATGGCTTCAACACCAGCCGTGGATTGCTCTCACCCACATTTATCCGACGTGCGACGTGCATCTACGGCGGCTATATCGACAACAAGCCGTGCGATGCAGTTGGTCAACGGTCAGATCGGGCCATGATTTTCGTACCCACGTATGTTGATCATCCGACGCGCTGTGGATGCACAAGCCGCACTTGGCTGCTAAAGCCAAGGCGGCTGCAAGCACCAGTGCAGCTGCAGACACAGCCTCTCTGCCCACCACCGTTCTAATACCAATGTCTCAATGTAGCGTTACAGGCGCAGCAGCACCTCCTTGCGCATGCATATCTTTCGCACACCTTACAGCATGTACTGATAGGGAACCGCTGGCAGGGCGGCCAGCCTAGGTAAATGCGAAGTGAAGCAACGGCCCAACTGCCGCAGTCAAGCAGGCCAGTCTTTCGCTTTTCTACCCTTTTCCTTCTTCTCCCCTCAGTTCTCAGCCACCCAACATGGCAACGCAACTGCACAAACACGAATCACCTCCACTTGCCCATGCTCTCGCCAAGGATCGTGTACGGGAGTAGGTGCGGATTACTTAAACGGGGGCTGGAGGGACACCTAGCCTACTATGGCCACCGCCACAAGGCGCCTCCCCCCCCACGCCTGGAAGTCCACCCCGCCCCCAGGCGTTCCCTGGGAACTCTTCGCCTGCCTTGGCGTGTGAGGGTCTCCTCGGTCGGACTGGGGGGCGGACGGGGTCGGGGGTGTCCTAACGGCAGGGGAGAAGCCCTGGGCCTTCCCACCTCTGGGCGAGCGTGGCCGCAACCACACTAATCGCTGCTCAAAGTCTGCCGCACGGCCACCAGCAGCCGCAGCCTACCGCACCGCCAGCTCACCCTACCCAGCTCCAGTCTGTGCACCTCGCCGCAACCAGCCTCGCCTTGTTGCCACCACTTTCGTTGTGTTGCGCTCGCCCACCACTTTAGACTCGAGACAGCCGCCAACAGCTGCCCACCGAGCCTCGCCGCTGCCACCACGTTTCTCACATGTAACACTCTTTTCCACTCTAGCCAGGCTGCAGCCACCAACTAGAGGGGGTGGTTGGATGTACGGGCGGGTGTAAGAAAGCAGCGCCGTTGTAGCCACCGCCACAGGAGATCGCAAACCTCCCCACGACAGGTGGAAACACAGGTGATGCCTCCAATTTCTCCCTGGGAGCCCTTCGCCCACCTCGATGGGTGAGGGTCCCCTTGATGGGACTGGAGGTGGTAAGCATGGGCCTTCGCACTGGCAGGGAGAGGCCTCTGCATCACCACAACTTGGCGAGTGTGGCCACGGCGGTGCTAACACTTCCAACGCCACAACTGTTGTCGCCATCGCCACATTTTCACCTCTTTCTCATTGTTGATCACCCCAACCCCTCTCCTCCCTTCTTCATATCATGTGCCTTCCACTCTCGTCCCCCCAGGGTGCTGAGAGACGTAGTTACCTTGCCCCTCGGGCATTGTTTCCCAGTGCACTTGTCTAGTTAGATCACCCCCCTCCAACGCCCCTGGGGGGGATGGCAGCTCCAATACGGACACGATGCTACAAGCTCGAATGTCAAACGAGGATGGCGGAATGATGGTGATGATGATGATGATGATGATGATGCTGATGCTGATGCTGATGCTGATGCTGATGCTGATGATGATGATGATGATGATGATGATGAGGATGATGAGGATGAGGATGATGATGATGATGATGATGATGATGATGATGATGATAATGATGCCGCTGCTGATGACGACGACGAGGAGGAAGAGGAGGGAGGCAGACAGAGGGAGTATTCGGGAGGAGAGGGAATAGGATGGAGGAAGGACTGGGCGGAGACCCCGCGGGCGGGCGCCCCAACCGCGGCCCTGGTCACGGGCGCGCCGCCTGCGCGGGGACACGTCGTCGTCATCGTCGTCGTCGTAGTGTTCGTCGTCGACGTCGTCGTGACGTCGTCGTCGTGGTCGTGGCCGTCATCGTCGTCGTGGTCGTGGTCGTGGTCGTTGTCGTCGTCGTCATGGACGTGGACGTGGTCGTGGTCGTGATCGTGGTCGTCGTCGCTGTCGTCGTCGTCATGGACGTGGTCGTGTTCGTGGTCGTGGTCGTGGTCGACGTCGTCGTCGTTTTTGTCGTTGTTGTGGTCGTAGTCGTCGTTGTCGTCGTCGTCGGCGTTGTCGTCGTCGCCACCGTCATCGTCGTGGTCGTGGTCGGAACTTCGGGGATCGACGTTCAAACTTCGAAGGTCGTGGTTGCGGTCGTGGTGGTGGTGGTGGTGGTGGTCGTCGTCGGAGGCGGAGGAGGGGCGCACTCGGCTTGAATCCGCGTTGATCCAGCTACCGCCCGCGCTCTGGTCTCTGGTACCACATTGCGGCGAAACCAGCGGCTCGCATTTCGTAGAGTTATGGAAGCGAGGGGGCACGGGTGCGTTTCGCCTGATCAGCTTTCAGCTCGTGATTGATAGGGGAACTCAGCACGACAATGGGGTGACAACGATGGCGTGGGTAGTCAGACTCTATGTCCGGGGAAAGGCCGAGCCCAAGACGAATGAGAGGGCAGGCAGGAAGACGGCCACGAGGGAAAGCGCGGAGGTGGAGCGGGCGAGCGCAAGATGCAGAGTGGGCCGCCAGCAAGTGTCTGATGTGGGCCCAAACCCACGACGGGTGAGTGCGTTCTAACATCTGGAGCGAGCCCACCTCTGGGTCAATCCTGTGAACTGGAGCACTGAGGAGGTCTGCAAACTAAGTCCCGACACCTCCGTGTTCAGGAAAGGCTCCTCCGGAACACTGCCACCGAGCCAGCTCTGGAGACGGCGGCCGAGAGAGGTGAGGGGAGAGAATCAGAAAACAAATCGGAGGAGAGGGCTCGGACTCTCTGCGGCCGCGGGCGGCGTATTTCCTCGCCAACATGCAGAATCTCTTCGCGCGCCGCGGCCGTCGCTGTCCGCCACGCGTCCCCAGGGATCCCCGAAGCATGGGAAGCGACGGGTGAGAGACTGCCAAAATCGTCGGGTTCATCCAGCACTCAAGGCTAAGACGCCCCGTCGCGACGCGTGGGAGACTCGCAAATATCTCAGCCTGCGACGGCAGGGCGTCGAGCGAGGCCTGCCACCCGCCCTCCCAGAATTCACAGTGTGTGAGACGCCGTGCGCCACGCTGAAGACGCACGGTGGCCGAGGCGAGCCAGTCACTTATGCTGAGTAGCCCAGCGAAGCCAAAGGAGTTGGCGGCGAGGTGAAGGAGGCGGTGAAGGACGCGACGTTCCGCGCGGAGGAGGGACACGGGAGGAGAGAAGAGCTGGCGCCGTAGTTGTAGATGCGGTAGCTGGATTCCGTGGGAGATCGTGTCAAGGCAAACTTCCGAACTCGTTCGCGCCTCGTTCACGCCACTCGCGTGTGGGTGCCGCCCACTGGGCGTCGAGCTCCGCCGAAGGGCCGACTTGCATGCCAAGGGACTCCGTAGGTTCGCGAAATCAACCCATGCTGGGATGAAGGTCGGGATCTGCTGTCAATGATTCTGCACTGCGGCGTCCGTGCGCCACTCGGCCAAAGGAACGATGGCGCACTTTGCCGGCTCCAGAGGGAGTGGTAAAGGTGCGGGCGGCGGCGAAGGGGGGGAGAGCACAGGAAGAAGGCCCATCGAAGGAAGCGTCGTGCCCACATCGTCCGCACTCGCTCCCCGCTCCGGCCCAAGCTTCGAAGCCCACTGGTAAGGTCCTGGGCACGACATACTAGCCTGCCCCATGATCAGAGCCAACATAGACATCGGGAGGGGGCGTCCCTGGGCAACTCTGGAGATCACCAAGAAGAGGGGGAAACCCTTGGAGCCGCAGCAGGAAGGGGCGAGAGCCCTTGTGTCCGGGCGGTGCTTGGCAAGGCCCAGAAAGAGGAAGACCTTGGAGAGCGATGGGAAGTCAGCGCGAATGTCAAACGACACAAAAAATGGCAAGAGGGAGGGAAGGATGGTGGCCAGCAGCTCGGGCTACCGCATCCGGGCGCACGATGAGCGAGAGAAAAGTACGGCCTCTGATAAGGCCTTGTTGCGAGTCGTGGGCCCGGTCAGCCACCATTGGCATCAGCTGCGCGTTCACCGTCGCCGGCAACTCCTTCAAGTCCGAGTTCTTCAGAGAGAGGGGTCGCAGCTTGGACGCTTGGCGGGTGACGTCCAAGATCTCCGTCGGGCCAGCGCCCTTGGGAACGGAAACGATGTCCGAAAAGTTCAGCCCCCGCGGGGCTGGCGGGCCCGCAAAGAGCTCCAGCGTGAGGTCATGCAGGGCATCGGTCAGGCGAGCGTCCACGAGCCAGGCTGCGGCCCGAACGCGGTCGGAGCCCAAGCCCGTCGGGCGGGCGCGTCGGAAGGCAGCCCGCAACGCATCCGGCGATGGACCTCCAGCCGTGGCGCGGGGAAGTCGGGGAGGTGCTGGTCGATGTAGTCCTGGGTGGCCGCCTCGTCGATGGGCTGGTCGGTGAAGATCGGGCCCGAGTTCTGCCGCAGCACGTCCATAATCACCATCGGGCCACGCTCCGTGGATGTCGAGTGGCCCTTCCCATCCACGTGCACCCCCGCCAGGGCGAAGCAAGTACGATACGGGGCCCACAGCAAGGATCGCCGCTGGGAGGACCGCTGTGGCTTCCTGAGCTGAAGAGCCGACGGCCCGTCATCACCACAACGGAGGCGGGCCTCCTCACGCAGCCGCTCCGCGGCAGCGCGTTGCTGCCGCTCGTGCCAGACAGCGTTCAAGAAGCGGCAAGTCTGCTCGAAATGCGTCGGGCCCGCCTACGAGATCGACCCGTCGCCGCTGATCCGGAGGTGGTGGCGGCCGAACTCCGTGACGTCCTGCAACTCCGTCCTCCGTGGATGGCACGCCATCGGCCCTTGACCCCAAGGCCCCCCAAGGAGGTGACGTCCAAGAAGGCCTCGACGCGCTCCGCAAAAAAGGGAGGCGGAGATATTGGCAGGGATCGCCCTCTCCGTAGCCGCTGCGGCGCGTCGAGGGCGAATCACAAGCTGGACGATGGCGTGGTCGCTCAGCCCCCACTCTGCCGCAGAGGCCGCCTCCTGCAAGATTCCGAAGGAGACGCACGTCTTGAGCAGGTAGTGGCCCTGCATCTAGAATTTAGATGACGGCGTGGTCGATGAAGGAGCAGGTTTGGTGGCGTTTGGAGAAGTGGGTGGGGTACTCGCTGCAAATCTCCACCATGTGCTGGGAGAAGAGAGAGCGCCAGAAACTTTGTGTTTGGTTGCCCTAGTGCCAGACCGAAAGGCTGTTACCCGTCGACGTATCTGGTACTCTGGTCCCCGTGCGTGAGGAGGAAGAGTCGGAGCTGCAGTCGGAGGATGCGCCGCTGGACTGCTCTGCACCGCTCTCGTTTCCTCCTCCGCCACCGCCACCACCACCACCGCCACAACCACCAACCTCCACCGCCACGTCCTCCTCCCTCCGGTCGTCCTGATGGGGCTGGTGCGCCTTGGGCTCCACAAGCGCTCCTCCGGAGCGCGGCTGGAGGACCCCGCAGAGGCAGGGGGTGGTGAAGGTCAGCGGGTTCGGTGCCTGCGATGTTGAAATAATAGGCATTGGCGCTCGTCCGACTGCGCCCAGCATGCACCAGAGAGCCAGCACCGTCGGATACCGTTCAAGCATCTGGGAGGGATGTTGTGGTTGTGAACGTTCAGAATGCGCAACTGCTGGTTTGTGTCGTAGTTGGTGATCGTGAGGGAGGCGACCCGTCTCTCGGCTAGGACCTGGAACTCGAAGGTGGGCAGCAACTGGCGCGGCAGCGTCGCCTCCTTGGCGTCCGACATCCATGGGATCAGGCACGCGATGCCGCCGTCACCGGGCGTGGAACCAGAGGCGAAGAAGGCGCGGTTATTCGTAAGGAAGCTGACGAAGCACGAGGAGGAGGTGGAGGAGGAGAAGGCTCCGAGAGGCCCCCCAAAAGGCCCCAAGAAGCCCCCAAGCGGCCCAGAGGCCCGACAGAGGCCCCCAGACGGCCCCGAAGACGCTTCAAACCTGCCTCCAAGTGGCTCCACCAAGCCCCCGATCAGCTCCCAAGACGCACGCAAGCGTCCCCAGATAGAATCCAAGAAGCCCACGACGCCTCAACCGTAGACTCCCTGCCTCTCCTGGGGGTCAGCGGAATGACGTGAGCCTCTTGAATAACAACGGGGGGGGGGGAGCGAATTAGCTCATGCAACTGGTTTTCCCGGCAATCCTCGTCGTCTGGCTTCCGGGTCATAACTCAAGCCGCTGGCGTCCGATAGAGACGATCCAGGCACCCCAGAGAAGCCCTCGGCGAGGCGCAGCTGTTGGAGACCGTCCCGGGGCTGTAAGACCGCCGAGAAACGACGAAAACGCCCGAAAGGGCCCCCGGAGGTCACGACGATTTCCGAGGCCCGACGAGGGCCCCCACAGGCCGAATACTGTGAGCACCTCCATCTGATGTCTTCAGAACATTTGAGGTGTGGCAGGGAGAACAAGCGGCGCGCTTACGCCGAAATTTTTGGGAAACCTGCGCATTTGTGTTCTCGAAACTAGAGAGCGAAAACAAAAAACATCCTCATAATAAGTACTCCGACAGACAAAGCCGTTTAGTAAACGCACCCAGGGAAGGAATCGAGCAGGACAGGGCTGTTTAGTACACGCCCGAGGCCGATCACAGGAGGAAGCAACAGCATAAACACAATTTCTCGGATGTCCGCGCGGATTTCTTGGATCGGCGCTGGGCCCCCCCTGGCGGCGCCTCCGAACATTTGTTATATTTATGCATTTTTCCCCATCGCAACCTATTGCAACCAAGCGGGGTAAACAGATCCTCGCGGCCGTATTCGTCAGGTCTCAAGCGACAGTGCTCCCGAACGACGTTGCGTTAGGAAAGCTCGACGAGCCCTGCAGGCCAGTTCGTCGATGCTGGACCACCAGGTGTTGGCTGCCAACCGCCCTCTGGAGCGTAAGAACACAACGAAGCGGTGGCCTGCGCGTCTGGCCTGAGCCCGAAGAAGACGAATTGCAGCAAAGCAGGGGGGCGGGAAATCACATCGTGGTAGCCACTCCACATCTCTTTATGTGGGATCTGCTAGTTCGATGGTTGGGCCATCCATATAGAGCTGATGCGATCCCTCTGACAACCCCTGCTTAATCGAAACATTGACAAGGATGGCAGCCATCAAACCATGCCGACTGCGAGAAACATCCGCATGAAAGAGCATTGAGTGAGACTTGGCTTTGTCCGTCACCGTCTTCTTGATGGCGGGGGGTGAACGACCACCGCCTGGCTTCCGTCGGCTGGCTGGCTCAGGGCAGCATGAATTGGGCAGCTCTGAGTCGCAGCGGCTGCGGGGCCAGGCTCTGGCCAACCAGCGTGGACCCGCGGACGGCTGCTTATGAGCGAAGGGCGACATGCGAACTGCGAAACAATGCAATCCGTCTCTGCGTTGAATCCTGAAACCTTTGAGCGGGGCGGCCGCATGCCAAAATTCCAAGCTGTACGGCTAAACGGCTACCGAAAAAGTGGAAACCTGGTCATGGACATCCGACGCCAGAAAGGGTTCCGAGATGCCAAACGCCTTTCGATGCATCTCAATTGACAAGTTTTCCAATGCTTGCCGCTGCGCAAGACTGAAACATTCACCTGTTCAATATCCTCTTGTTTTGACGCTACGAATTATCATCTCTGATTTCCGGAACGAATCACAAGTCCTCGGAGCTCCAAGGTCAGCGCACCCAAAACTCGTCAAAAAGGACGGGTCAATTTTGTGCATCGCTACGTCAGAAAAGCTGCGCCGCGTATCGACTGTACAGAGACATCGGAAACCATGTGCTGTATATTCCTCCATGATTGAATCGGTCATCCAAAGAACGAAGCCTGCGTTTGAATAACCCTTCTTCGCATTCCTCTACTGGTAGACGCTTGCGATCCAATCGTAGAAAGGTCGATAAGCCACGACGAATTCAATAGTAACGTGGCTTATATCAGAGGCGAGCTGAGCGACCCGGCTGCTCAACTGGCCGAAATTTTCACTAGACGTCACCACGTTATGGGGAGTAACCCTGAGCTTGCCAATGTATTCTAACCAATCCAAACAAGTTCGCATTTGATTCGCAACAACAGCGAAAGCTTTCCGATTATAACACGCAGCTACGTCGGCGACTTGAACCTTCCTCCCCGCGCCGTTGGCCAAACTTCCGAATTGTGTAGGAAGTCGATATGTCCAACCCGCTTGTGTGAGCAAGGACGTCCAGTCGAACAATTCGCGTTGAACTGTTTTCGAAACAATCTATGGGGGTCCGACATGAATTACAACATTTGGGCAATTTTCTTTTGACCCTGTACTTGCTGCACCCATTGTTAGTTGGTTGTGATACACATCAGCAGAGATACTGATCAAGTTCCGTGATTGCAGCCGAAAAATAAGCATAGCAGGCACAACAACGCAGAGGCAGACAACTCGTAGGCTACCGCAGAGACGGCTGACTCAAGTGATAACGTGCTTGAGCCATCCTTAAGCCAACATGGTCACGGATAATGTTTATGCCAGTTGCTGTTGCTTGATTCTTGGGAGAACCACAAGCAGTCACAGCAAACCACAAGCAGGCGGGGGGGCCGACAATGCCGCAGTCGGCCCGTTTTTCCAAATTTCAGCTAAACGCCCGTCTTCTTCGAGGAGCACCCCCTGAGCATCCAGGACGCTTCCGCAAAGTTGGTGTCATCCTGTTGCTCGAGCCGCATGCCAAAGCTTCTTCGAAGCAGCCAGGCCCCTCCGAGAAGGCCCATGCCTTCCAAGAAGCCTCCCCCGCCTTCTTGGAAGCCCACCCCCCTCGGGGCACCCCCTCGTGGGCGCTGCCAGGAAAGAGGAGGAGGAGGAGGAGGAGGAGGAGGAGGAGGAGGAGGAGGAGGATTTCGCAACGTGCCTCCCCAAAAGGCTAGACCCCTTCCCCGGGACGTTTTTTTTGCATCCGGAGATGCTTTTTTCTGCTCTGGGGGCCGTAAGGACCCCAGGGACCGAAAATTGGCAAAAACCTTCAGTCGTGTTTTTTCTACGGCGCCAGGGGGGGCGCGCTCGAGGACCGCAGAGGCATGACCGAGACATCCAGCGTCGTCTATTTTTCACTGCGTGGCTCTCCAGAGGTCTAGGCCACTTCCCCGGGGACTGGCTTTTCAGCCTGAGCTGCTTTTGGACGGTCCACGGGCCCCGCAGTGGCCCCCAGGAGCCGACACTTGGCACAGACCTCCCGTCCTGACTTTCGTCACGACGCGAAGGGGGTCTCTGGGAGGGGCACGCTCGAGGTGCCTTCCCAGGGAGGGACGTCGGCGCACGGGCGCGCGAGACCAGCGCGCCTCGCCGCCCTGGCAGTCCTGGGTGCCCTCTTTCCTGCCGCCTCGTCGTTCGCTCCCCCCTCCTCTGCACGTGTCCTCGTCTTCGCCGTCCTCCGAATCCTGCGGGCCGGTGCAGTTCCAACGGGGAGCAGGGGAGCCTCTGGATCTGCGCTCCGAGGGAGGAGGTGCCAGGGGTCAGGAGGGGGTTAAAGCCCAATGCACTCAAAGTCGGTCCCCCGACCCCTCCCAAGGTCCATCTGGCGCAGTTTTTCGCCCCGGATCCGTTTCTGATGGCCCCAACGGCCGAAAAAGGCCCCCAGAGGCTGAAAGGCAACGAACCTGGCCGAATCCAGAACCTGGAACATGCCCGCCCTCCTACTGGCCCGAACCAGGGCTGGGCCATCTCAGGCCCCCGGCCGGCTCCAACGTGGGAGCCTCTGGATCTGCTCCGACGGAGGAAGCGCGGCGCGCCCTTTTCTGCCGCCTCTCCCTCGCCAGCAGCCGCGGGGAGCGACGGGAGCCGACCTCCTCCGCCGCGGGGCCGCGGGGCGCCGCGGCAGCCCCCTCTGCGGGCCCCCCCCGCGGAGCCGCGGCCGCGGCCGCCCCTGCTGCCGTCTCCTGCGAGGGGGAACGCTGAGGCCCCCAGGCGTGCCCACGCCATGACAAAAGTCACGACGGGAGGTTCCTGGTCAATTCCGGCCTTGGCGGCCCTCGCCGGGCCTCAGGAGGTAAAAAACAACTCGGGATGAAAAACTGGCCCTGGGGAAACGGTCGGGACCTCCGGGGACCGCGTATTGAACAACTCAGGGCGTCGCATGTCTGTGGGGGGGGGGGATGGGCTCATGGGGGAAACGTTGCGAAATTCGAGGTTCGAGGTTTTCGGTTCGTCGGCTCTCGGCGGCTATCCAGCCTGGTTCCAGCGGCTGCGCCCCGCCGAAAGCGTTCTGGGGGCGCACGGGGGAAGAGGAGGAGGCGGAGAAGGAGGCGGAGGAAGAGGAGAGAGAGAGAGAGAGAGAGAGAGAGCGCTGGGAAACGTTCCGGGGGGACGGCCCAATTCGAGCCCAGCGGGGGCGCAAGAGCGCCGGAAGGCTCACGCGTCGTAGTTGCCAGTGGACAAAACGACGCATGTATTCCAGGGTACCTTTTTCATGAATCTTCCACAATGGTAGGTTTGGAGTCGCTGTTGGTGGCAGCCATGTCGTGTAGATAAAAGACAGTGTCATCATCCCAAGACTTCATCTGTCCGCCATGTCGGCGAATGGCTGGGCGTCAGTCGTGTGAACATGGATCCCAACTCGCACTCAGTCGTGTCCACCTGTCGTGATCGCGGATGGCGACCCGCACTGCGAACGCCCATTTCGCTTGAAGTATACGTCCGTCCAATCGTCGACTCGTGCTCGTTTGGCGAGCGCCAGAGCGGTGGAGGTACTTCTCCGTAAGAAACTAATTCAAGATTCAGATCCGTCGTCGTTGCCTCCATCGTTTGCTGTTGTCGGCGCTGGTGCTGGTGCTGTTGTCGATGCTGGTGCTGTTGCCGGTGCTGGTGCTGTTGTCGGAGAGGAGGAGGAAGAGGAAGAGGAAGAGGAGGAGGAGGAGGAGGAGGAGGAGGAGGAGGAGGAGGAGGAGGACCAGTGTAGACCCAAGAGCCATCAACGATGTTGGAATACACCCTCCCTCCAAGCTGCCTCTTCATAGATCCCTACAACGGTTCATTTCCATTGAGGGATCCGCCTCGTTGGAAGATAACCGTTTGAAGACACGGAAACATGCAAAACATTGTTCTCGGGATTCCAACGCTACGGATCAACCTGACTGTTGCGTCTTGACGATCCTTCAATCGCGCCAGAACGCCATTCTTGGGATTTCAACACCGTCAATCAACGTAACTTATGCACCCGCAAAATCCTGAACCCTTCCAAAACACCATTTCTGGTTCGTTGATCGTGGGAATCCGTGAAACTCAGGCAAATGTTTCAAAACGAATGTGCGCGGCGCTACGGCGAGAGCCACATTTTGAAAAGGAACCGCCCTCAATCCCTGAAACTCTGGCAATTTTTTCAAAACGAATGTGCGCGGCGCTAAAGCGAGAACCATACTTTGAAAACGGTTATCCTCAATCCGTGAAGCTCTTGCGCATTTTGAGAGCGAATGTGCGCGGCGCTAAGGCGACAGCCACATTTAGAAAACGGGTTATCCTCAACCCGCGAAGCTCTGGCAAATATTTAAAACGAATGTGCGCGGCGCTAAGGCGAGAACCACATTTTGAAAACGACCCGCCCTCCATCTGTGAAGCTGTTGCCAATTTGTAAGCTTCAGCGTCATAGATGGTGAGGAAGGCTCAGGCGAAACGCCCAGCCCGCCCTAAAAACTGGCCTCGGGGTGCGACAGGGAGAAATTATTTATAAGGAAAAGGAATGGAGGAGGAGGAGGAGGAGGAGGAGGAGGAGGAGGAGGAGGAGGAGGAGGAGGAGGAGGACCAGGAGGAGGAGGAGAAGGAGGACGAGGACGAGGAGGAGGAGGAGGAACGTTGTCCTTGACACCTTCTGCCCCTGGCACCTGGGGAACGATGGGGGGGGGGAACGAGCATGAGGCGATAAGACAGGACGCATATGCACGATTGTCGCCTCACGCGCACGCAGATGTGACACTCGCAACAATTCGCCCAGGAGACCGCCAAGTGGGCAGGGAGACATATAGACGGACGGCGGTCATCGCCGCAGGAAGTAAAAGAAATTGCCCCCCCCTGGGGGAGAAACGATGACCTGGGAAGATCACTTCGAAGTTCGGGGTCATCCGATTTGTTCGTCGGTTCTCACACCGACCAGGGGTACGATAGGTTCGTGCGGCTTCGGCGCGCGCGCAAGCTCGAATCGGTCGCGGCCCCGATCGTTCAAAATTGCATTCCGCCGGGTCCAATGGCGTTAGATACCGTGTCCATCGGTGCTTCCGCGTCGCAGAATTCAGCCTTGAACGCCTTCGCCGGCGTCGCCGGCGCGCCAACGCCGCATGAACCGACCGCGTGCCGGGAGAGCCACCTGACCCTGTCCCAGTGGGGGCGGGGCTGGTTCTCAAGGTCTCCTAACTTCGCGCTTCGCGCTTCGCGAAGCGCGAACAACTTCGCGCCGCCCCCAAAGGGGAGAAGAGGAGGACGAGGAGGAGGGGGAAGAGGAATGAGGCCCGCGAAGCGCGACAAACTTCGCGCCCTCGTGGGAGCCCTTGGTTCTGACGGTGATGAGCCTCGCCCTCCCTGTCCTCGTCCATGGCGCCCACCACGGCGCAGTCTGCGGAGGACCTGGGGCCGTCGACACTCCTCAGCGAGTCAGTGCTGATGCGCCTGGAGAGGCCCAGCGGGTCCCCGTCTCGACGGAGCACCATCTCGACGGCGCCGTCCGCCATCGAGCCCTCTGGAGAGTCGAGAGGGCTACGCGATCGGGCGAAAACTTCGGACGCACGCGGGCGCTCTCAGCCGCCGGCGCGGGGCGCCCCTCTCCCCACACCTTAGATGCTCGTTCTGGGGACCTCCCTGAGGCCACTCGCTCCACTCATGCGTTGATGCTGCGTCGAACGTCCGTCGGCTTGAGTCGAACTTGAGTCGAGTTCGAGTCGAACAGACCTTCTGTCTAGGTAGCCCCCAAGGAGCAGAGCAGAGCGGAGCAGAGCAGAGCGGCCAATACTCCGTCCGGCGGGACGGCTCCGTAGTGCGCTTCGCGCACGGAGAGGCCGTACATGTGCGCGGTACTGTGAGCCCGTGAAACATTGAAACGTCAGACGCTGGAGGACACACGCACGAAGGCAGAGAGGGACGCACGACAAGCGAGGACGGGAGGCGGGCAAAGGAGAGGGAGGGACGAACGACGAGAAGGACGACGGAGGGCACGCGAGCGAGAAGGCGTGCAAAGCCCCAAACAAAAAGAATGAAGGACAGCCGATGGATGGATTGAGAAACCTGCCTATCAGCAACACGGACAGAGCGGCGCAGCGGCGGTACGCCTCGGAGGGCGCAACACCCACGGGTCTGTCTAGGTAGCCCCCACGGAGGTTCCCCCAAACGAGGATCTAACACACCTGAGCGGGGTCGAAAGGCGGGGTCGACGAGACACACCGCCGATAGATCGGCGGTGGGCTCCCGATGATGAGGAAGGCCCAACGCTCCCATGAGGCGGGCTCGGGCACGGGCCCCGATCAGCGAGGAGTGGGCGGTTGAGGGCCCCCTGACCCTGAGACCCGACGTTGCGAAAAATCAGCACAACGTCGCGAAACAAACACGACCGGAGCCCTGTAGACCTGATCTGTCTTTCTCCAGCGCGTGTCGAGCCACATCGATCGGTGAATTTCCTGGGGCCCGGAATAGGGCGAAAACGCCAAGCGCAAGAAAATTACAACGCTCAGATCTCAAGGGAGCCAGTCCCCCCCCCGTCGGCGCCCGTTGCAAGGACATCCCCCAAACGGCCGAAACCCAGCTCGTCATGTAGGACATTCTAGCCCCTACCTCGCCACAGCAATTTCCATGGGCTGGCTCCTCACTTCGTCTGGGGGTCGGCGGAACGGCGAAACCCCCTCGATCAGGCACCGCAGGCGCAACAAAAGCATATGGACAATTCATCCTCGTGGCCTGACCGAGCCGTGACTCGGGCGAAGAACAACAAATGAACGACGATCGAAATCGCATCTTACGCGAGCCGCCAATGCGGCACGCCGCAATGGAGACGAGGGCGCTTACGCGCGACCTTACGCGAGCAGCTCACGCGCGAATGTCGGCGCAATCGAACTCGCTTTAGGCGTCGCTCAAGCGGCCCTGAAAGCTGGACCCGACGTCACGATCCTGCTCCCGGCCCTCAGCTGGCATCCGAACTGCAGGCACGCTGTCCGCGGGCGGGGCCTCGGGGGCCTCCGCCGCCGGCTCGGCGGCCTCCCGTTGGCTCTCGTGCGACTCCATCGGATCGGAGTGGTCTTGGCAAGCAGCCCCATCCCCCATCCCCCACCAACGGGCGGCGCGCCCAGGGGGCCCATTGAGAGGGAGAAGGTCTTCTCAGAAGGCGGCGGGGCTTCTCAGGAACCTTCGCGCTTTCTGATAAATCTTCTGCGTCTTCGGCAAAGGCGTATAACACTTCTCAGAGCGCCGAGGGACTTCCGAGCCTTTAAGAAGACCCGCCGCCTCTCACTCCCCCCCGGGCTGGCCGCCGATCTTCGGTGGCAATTCATGGGAGCCTCCCATGCCATCTTGTTGGCTCTTGCGAACCGACGCAATCGACGCCAGTCGACGTTAAGTCGACGCTAGATCGGCGCTACCCCCCTGGGCTGGCAGCCGAGACAAGCAACCCCATCCCCCACCAACGCCTCCCCACTCCACCGCCCAACCTCCCTGGCAAACTCCTGCAGGTTCTTGCCAGAGCTGGCGGTCCTCCCTTGTCACTCCGTGGGGGAGGCTCCCTGCCCGGAAATGACGACCGAAAGGAAGGAAGGTGAGCAGGTGTAGGAGTAGGAGTAGGAGTAGGAGTAGGAGTCAAGCTAGCCAGCTCGAGCGAGTCAAGCATGGCATGCCCATTTCCACCCGCCCTCCCACAACATAAGAAACAGTGCTGGTGCAACTGGGGACCGAAATCAGATCGGCAAGGTGGTTTGCCACGGCTGATGCAGCCGCGATGGCGGTTACCGATGGGAAATTCCTGGCGCGTCTCAAAGACTGCGCTGGCATTTCAGCACGAGCCGAGGAGGCCCCAGGTAGCCTCAGGAGGCCCCAGGAGGCCTCAGGAGAAGCCCCAGCGACCCCCAGGAAACCCCAGGAGGCTTCAGGAGGGCCCATGAAGCCCCAGGTAATTCCAGGAGGCTTCAGAAAGCCCTAAGAAGTGTCAGAAAGCCCCGGGGAATCCCAGGAAGCCCCAGGATGCCTCAGGAGGCTCCGGGAGGATCCACGAGGCCCTGAGGAAACCCCGGGAAGCCCCAGAATGTCCCAGGAGATCCTGGGAGGCCCCAGGGGGCCCTGGGCGCTCGACGAATTGGCGAGCGAAGATGTGCGCCGCGCCTTGGCGGGAACACACCTTTCAGAAAACATGCGCGCGGCGCCGAAGCGAGAGCGACATTTCACCCTGTCGCGCGTGATGTGCACCGCGCCCCCTTCCTGCCACGCATTTCGCAAAGCCGACGACAAGAAATTCCCCACTGAAAAAACATGTCGACTTTGTCTGGTTTTTGAAAGGTATGATGGCCCCCCCCGCTTGGGGTTGCCCCAAACGTCCGCGCGCGATGTGCGCCGCGTTTCATTCCTGCTACGCATTTCGCATCGTCGAGCACAAGACAGGCCATGCTGAACGGAAAAGCGGGGACTTCTTATTGGTTTTTTACGATCAGGATGGGCGGGTCCAGATTGACGTCCGCGCGCGATGTGCGCCGCGTCCCGCTCCTGCCACGCATTTCGCATCGTCGACGACAAGACAGGCCATGCTGAAAAGAAAACTGAAACTTTGTATTGTTTTTAAACGGTCAGGGTGGGACCCCCCGGATGAGGTTGCTATCGGCCGGAGGGTAGGGTAGTCAGAGTACCGTATATTCTAATGAAGAGAATAAGGATAGGAGTTTCAGGAGGAGTAGGAACAGGAGGAGGAGGAGGAGGAGGAGGAGGAGGAGGAGGAGGAGGAGGAGGAGGAGGAGGAGGAGGAGGAGGGGAGGAGGAGGAGGAGGAAGGAGGAGGAGGGAGGAGGAGGAGGAGGAGGAGGAGGAGGAGGAGGAGGAGAAGGGGAGGAGGAGGAGGAGGACGTGGAGGCGGAGGAGAGGAGGAGGAGGAGGAGGAGGAGGAGGAGGAGGAGGAGGAGGAGGAGGAGGAGGAGGAGGAGGAGGAGGGGGAGGAGGGGAGGAGGAGGAAGAGGAGGAGGAGGAGGAGGAGGAGGAGGAGGAGGAGGAGGAGGAGGAGGAGGAGGAGGAGGGGGAGGAGGAGGAGGAGGAGGAGGAGGAGGAGGAGGAGGCGGAGGAGGAGGAGGAGGAGGAGGAGGAGGAGGAGGGGGGAGGAGGAGGAGAGGGAGGAGGAGGAGGAGGCGGAGGCGGAGGAGGAGGAGGAGGAGGCGGAGGCGGAGGAGGAGGAGGAAGAGGAGGACGACAACGAGGGCCAGGAGGAGGAGGAGGAGGAGGAGGAGGAGGAGGAGGACGAGGATCAGGAGGAGGAGGAGGAGGATGAAGAGGAGGAGGAGTAGGAGAAGGAAGAGGAAGAAGAAGAGGAGGAGGAAAAGGAGGACTAGGAGAAGGAAAAGGAAGAAGAAGAGGAGAAGGGAAGAGGAGGAGGAGGAGGAGGAAAAAGGAGGAGGAGGAGGAGGAGGGGAGGAGGAGAGGAGGAGGAGGAGGAGGAGGAGGAGGAGGAGTAAACGAACGTTGAAGTAGTTGACACCATCTGCGTTTACAGCCCGCGGTGGGGCGGCAACGGGGTCACGCCTGGCTTGCCATGCGAGTTGACGGAAGCGGAGACCGAAGCGGAACGGGGGGGAGAAAGCGGGGTGCGGGGGCAAACGGGAACGGATTGGACACAGAAACAGAAAACATGAGATGGAGAAGAGGTGGGGAGCATCGCAGCAGCACCAGCATCGCTCAGGAGCGAAGAGCGGGGGAAGAGAGACATGGACGCAGCCAATGAATGGCTGCTGCCGAGGGCACAGAAAGAGCAGCACGCGCAGTCGCGAATTACAGACCAAATCTGCGATACCTCACAATGGGTGAATTAAACTAGCGAACGCCAAGCGAATCCTTGCTGAGGGGTCCCCCGACGATTCAACAACGCGTCTCGATAGGAACTTGGTTCCAATAGCGCGTGCGTCGATAGGAATTGCTGTTTCTGGCTGCCTAGCTGCCGACTCAAAAACGCGTCTCGATAGGAACTGGGTTCGGGGATCGATGCGCCCCTCGGAAGACGGCGCCGCGATGCTGGACAACGACCCGACGCCGCCGTCACGGGGAAAAGCGAGGGAAGGCACGGCGCAAGAGAAAACAGGATGCGTCGGCTGCGAGAGGAGAGCAAGAGAAGGGACAGGCGGGGGGGAGGAGGTGACGGAGAAGGAGGGAACGCGGGCTCACCGCCACAGGAAGCCCTCGACTAAGATGGACAGGTTCGAAGCGACATCGGCCCACTCGGAGCAGATGGAGGAGCGGGCGAAATTGGACACGAGGGCGCAGTTGATGTTCGAGAGGAACTTAGTGGGCACGGCGAGGTCGGGGCAGACGGGCGCGCCAACCAATCCGAAACGTCGGAACTCGAGATAACAATCCAATCAGCGTCCTCGGCATCGCAAGATGTAGGAGAGGGGGGGGCTGCCTCGGGGACGAAGGGGTGGCAATCAACGTGGGCGGAGTCGAAGGCGAAGACGAGATCAACGGCGCGAGCCTGGGGGGGCGCGCGGACGACCGCGGGCGTCCCCTCGGAGCCGACAGTGAACTCGACGGCGAGCCCGCGGAGCAGAAAGTGGAGGCCACCCGAGCGGGAATAGGCGATCGACGGGCACGATGGCGCCGAGGAAGACGAGGACGAGCATGTGGCACCGCCGACAGCACCATGAGCCTCGAACGTGTGGAAGATGGCCTTCTCTTGCGCAAGCGCGCGGAGCTGCGCGGCCATCCGCGTCGGGCGCGCACCTGCTAGCGCGGAGCTCCATGTCTGGGACTCAGACAGTGGCCGCGCTGAGACCGCGCCGCGCGGTGGGCCGCGACCACGGCGGCAAGCGCCGACGCCGCCTGGAGGGAAGGCGGTCGCAGCGACGGGCGCCGCATGAGGGGCGGCGGGGACAGCCGCGCGAGCGCTCGACGCAGTGCCGCGTGGAGTGAGCGACAGCGAGCGTAGTGGCGCAGGGCGTCAGGCGCACCGCGGCACCCCAAGGCGCGGTAGCGCTCGCCCAGCGGGTGGATGATCCGCGAGGAGGTCTGCCATGCGCCCGCTCATGTCCGCAACGCGGCCCATGCCCGCGAGCGCGGGCAGCGGGCGAGCAGCGCCTTCACCTCCTCCCGGCAGATGGTCGGCTTCTTGGCTCTGACGGCCGACCCGCGCCCTGAGGCGAATGTCCAGGAACTCAGTGAGTGGCGCGCGGCGCCGGGCCGGAGCGCGAAGAGCGCGTTGCGTACCGAGCTGGGGGCGAGGACGGCGCCCGAGAGAGGGCGAGCTCGGCCCGAGACGCAGCGAGAGCGGGCGGGGGCATCGCCTAGATGCGCGGGCGCGGCGCGCGTCCAACCGCGGCGTCGGCCGTCGCCGCCCCGAAGGCCGGGGTCCGCCATGATTTCAGGAAGGACCGGCCTGTCCGCGACATGACCAAGGTGCTTCACGTCGGAGTCGCGTTGGCGCGAGCCTGCGACTGGCCCTTGAGCCGAGCGTGTTCAGGAAAAGGTCCATGCCGCCGCGCGCGCCAACGAGGAGACGTTGAGATGCGCCCATCGCATTCTTCGGGCCGCCCCTCTCCTCCAACTGGTGCCAGGCGCTGAGGTTGAACGCTCCCGCTTGGCGCGCGGAAGACCCGCGCCAGGACCGACAGCTTGAACTTCAGCAGGCCTGGCGGCGCTCATGCGACTTGGGCGACATCAGATAAGGCACTAGCAGCACGAGCGCTGCGCAATATCGAAGAGAGGCTCGCGGGAGTGGCGCCGCGCCCGATGGCCTGCGATCTCAGCCGAAGTCTGGCGACAGGGTCGATCCACGACGTCTCGGCGGCCACTGCAAGGGGCATTTGGGTCCCGAGGTCGGCCGAGACTGGCGCGACCTCGAAGTCCGACCGCTCGGGTGCATGACAGGCCATCTCGGCCGCCGCCGCGGAGGGCGCGGGCGCAGGGAAAAACGGGTCGAGAGCGGGGGCACCTTGCACTCTAATCCTTCGGGTAGAGATTCGCGCTCGAGGCCGCGAGGGCCGCGGCCCGCCGAACCTCCAGGAGCGCTCGGATCTCCCTCGGGGCGCCTCCGAGGTCGTCGGCGCGAGCCCGCGCGAGGCCCAATCCAGGAATCTAAATTGACGCGACTATGTCCTCCAGAAAGACCATCGCGCTCAAAGCGCGCAGCGTGCCCGAGAGCGCGCGCCCCTCAATAGTCCCACTGCGGAACCAATTGGGCCCCTGGAGCGCGCCCCTCGCCTGGACAAGCCCCTCGATCGCCGCAAAAAGGCAGCGGGTAAACTCCGGGCGGGGAGGGGGGGGGCCGAAGGAATCGAAAGCAGACGGCAGGGGCGACCGGTTCAGGGGCGGGAGAGCCTGGCCGAAGTCCAGGGACAACAGGAGGGGAACGTCCAAGGCGCCGCGGTGGCTAACTGGTAGCTGTCGAGCGGAGACGCCGTGCTCCAAGATATCGGTGCCGAAATCCCGTCGGGGGACGAAGCCTCGCTGGCGCGACGGCGTCGCTGCCGTAAGCAATGGCCGCAGAGCGGCATTCGCTGTCGCCGACTGCAGCCTGAAGTCGGTGTTCTGCAATCCTCGTGCTCGCGCATTATCAGGATACCGAACGCACTGGCATCGCGAAGCTCGCTCTCCGCGATGGCCTTGGGAAGTGAAGCCGGGGCGGTGGCGTTGGCCGCGTCGAACAGACTCTGGCCGCCCAGAAGCCGCTCGAGGGCGGATCATAAGATATTGACACCCGATGGGGAAGCATACCACGCGGCGTAGGGGGCCCCGTCGACGCCCGTCGCGGAGCCCTGGACGAGTCCCAAGAGCCGACGAAGCAAACGAATTGTAGGAGGAATGTGCGCCCCTGAAGCATCAGGCAACCACTTGGCAACATCTCGCGGCGGCCTCCCGCTCCCGACGCTTCTTGGAGAGCGCGGGGGCCCAATGCTGCCTGGGGGCTCGCGCGCGTTCGTCAGGGCTCGCGATGACACTGCGCGCGGCCGAGGCGATCCAGAGAGAGAGAGAGAGAGAGAGAGAGAGAGAGAGAGAGAGAGAGAGAGAGAGAGAGAGAGAGAGAGAGAGAGAGAGAGAGAGAGAGAGAGAGAGAGAGAGAGAGAGAGCGAGAGAGAGAAAGAGAGAGAGAGAGAGAGAGAGAGAGAGAGAGAGAGAGAGAGAGAGAGAGAGAGAGAGAGAGAGAGAGAGAGAGAGAGAGAGAGAAGAGAGAGAGAGAGAGAGAGAGAGAGAGAGAGAGAGAGAGAGAGAGAGAGAGAGAGAGAGAGAGAGAGAGAGAGAGAGAGAGAGAGAGAAAGAGAGAGAGAGAGAGAGAGAGAGAGAGAGAGAGCGAGCGAGCGAGCGAGCGAGGCGAGGCCCCAAGGGGGGCCGGATACGAGCTTTGCGTTCAACGCCGCGGAGGGCGAGGCGACGCTTATGGGAATCCCCAGAGGCCCGCTGCAGCGAAGCCAGCTCCGCCTTCTCTAACTCGGCCGCCTCTCCCTGGACTCTCGCCGATTACCCCTGGAACGACGGTGGCGGACGCGGCGGCGGCGGCGGCGGAGGCGGCGACGACGCGATCGGCGGCGGCTGGGCGAAATGCGAGAAGACGCACGGCAATAACTCGGTCATTCCTAGCCGCGCGTGCCAGAGGCCCCGCTAACAGCGCGAGAGTGCGAAGGTGCCCGAGCCCAGTCTTGAACGACGCGTTCCCCTCCAAACGCCGTTGAAAGAAAGGCCCCTTGCGCGCGCGCGTCTCGGCAGCGCGTGCTCGGGCGCAGGGCGGCGGGGACAGGAGGAGAAAGAGACAGCGACCGCAGCGCGACCCGAGACCTCGTCGCCGACGCGGCCGGCTTCGCGACCGACGAGAAGACGAAGCGACAGCGGGCGAGCCAGCTCGGAAGGGAGCAGAACGCCCTGTCGATCACCGCCTCGGAGTCTTGGTCGCGCGCGTAGCGCGTCGGCTCCTGCCCCTCAAACTCGAGCGCGCGCGTCAGGGCAACCCGCCACTGCGGCGCCAGGTAGCGGCGCTGCCTCGCGCTCCGCTCGGCCGCCGTCGCCGGGGCGCGGGGAGCGAGCAGGTCGGGCCCGGAGAACTTGAAGCCGCCGATGGCGATGACGCAGCGCGCCCGCGGGTCTGCAGCCGCCCGCTCCAAGGACGAGCCTGCGTCATCCGTCGCCAATGTAGCCTCGTCGATCGTCGGGCCATGATTGTGCGCATTGTAGACGACCAAGGAAGATGCGGCACAGGGCGCCGCCGCCCGAAGGGCGCGACCAGGCGCCAGCTCGGCCTTCCGCAAGTCAAACTGGGAGCCCCTCTACTGAGGAAGCGGCGGCAACGAAGCTGCGACCCCGCCTCGGACCCGACCAGCGCGGTCATCGCTACGAACAATGGCGTGCACTGAGACGGCGTGGTCAACGGCCTGCGGTAGGGCCCGCAGTTGAAGTTCGTTTGGGTAAACTTCCCGAACAGAGACGATCGCGCCCCGCGGAAGCAATCGAGCAAGGTGGACCCTCTGCAAGCAAGATTTTGCCCCAGCAGCGCGCAATCAAACTCGGCAGTTCCACGTCGCGAGTCTCCGGGCGGGGTGGGGCGAGGCGCGCTGGGCCTAACGCGGGTGCGCTGGCAGAGACAGCGAATTCTAGAGGCACCGGGTCTCCTCCACCTCGGGGGCAGCAAAATGGGCGGCTCGCGCCCGCGCGCCTCTGCTTGCGCCGGCCGGCCCTGTTGAGGTCGGTCGGCTCCTTGAGGATCTCGGGGGGGGCACCTCGCCTGGGAATGCTTCGACGCGGGCGACGCGGCCCCGGCCGACCGACAAGGCGCCGCGCCCCCTGTCCATGAAGATCTTGGAAGAGGGGGGCGTCTCGGTCAGAGTCATGCGCAGGCGGCGCACCGCGAACTGGATGGCAAATCTTTCAGCGGGGAGGTTGCCGAGGGCCTTGAACTCGCAATCCGGCTCCTCAAGGCCGGGATAGGCCGCCCACGGGGAGAGTGAAGATTTGACAGCCTCCAGTGTCGTATGTCTCTGTGCGAACGCGACCACCTGCGCGGGGTCGATGTCGCGCTCGAATCCGTTGTGCACCAGCGGGGCGGGGCGGGGCTTCTGCTCGGCGACGGCGAGGAGGTGGCGGAACTCGGCCATCTCAGCCCGCGGCGCCGCGAGCTGGTCATCGCGTTCGTCAAGTCGCCCCTGAGCCTCCTTGATATTTTTGTTCGTGGCGTCCAGCTGTGACTGGGCCCGCGGCGGGCACCTTCCATTTCAGGTCGAACGATGTCCATGATAGATTGGTCCACTGCTCTCTCGTCGCGAGCGGCCACCTCCTTGCGGAACTCGTCAACCATGGCCAAGATCTTCGCGCTGCTGCCATCCGTCCCCCTGGCGACAGAAGCCAAGATCTCCGCGGAGATGGTGTTCTTGTAAGACTCGAGGAAGTCGAGACAGGCCTGGTGGATTAAGGCCTCGGAGCAGTCCTCCATGTCCTCGTATGTCCTCGTCGGCAACACCTGCGTCTGGTCCAGCGCCGATGCACCTTTTGCGCGATCGGTATTGCCAGCCAGGAGCAGCAGCACCCCCAGGACTAGCAAGGAGGGGACGGCCGCCCCAATTAGGGCCTGCGAGGGGGAGGTCGGGCAGGCATCGATCGCCTGGAAGTCGGTGTGCGAACGAAGCTGTTGCTGCTGCCCGTCCGCCGACATGCCGCCACATGAGCACTGGCCCGCGCGGAACCGGAAATGCCGCAGTTTGCCCGCGCGAGCCGATGCAGATGCGTATGCAGAGAAGTCGCTCCACCAAGAGCTCACTAAGCGTTCTGCTCTGGCCTCGGACCAGAGGCACTGCACGCGTTTTCTGCCCGAGGGACAAAGGCATCTTGAGCCAAAATGGCCACGGGAGGAGGAGGAGGACGGAGGAATCATAACGCTCAGGATCATAACAGTTGCGAAGCATCCAAAACAAAGTGGTGCAACCTTGACTTCGAACATGGGAGCTCTCTGAGGAAACGGTGGGAGATTCTCCCACCGAAACACACGGCGTCTTCGGTGGGAGCCCTCTGAGGAGCCGGTCAATCGATTCCAGCCAAGAGCGGGTGATTACATCGGGGCAGCACTGACCAGCGAGAGGACGGAGCTGATCCGTAGCACAATCTCCACGCCCTCGACAAAGCCATGCACGCACTGTCTCAGAAACGACCGCCTTGTGCGACTCATGCACCCACCCTCCGCCGACGTGGGCCCACCGAACACGCTGGGAACTGAGCCAGGACGACCGCGTGGCTTCGACGACGACGAGAAGCAACAGCGGCAGAGCGCGCCTGTCTCGTCGAACTGGTGCTGAGTGCTGAAGGTGGCCACAGCTGCGACAAAAAACGACCGCGGGGGAAGAAACGGAGGAGGAGAGGGGGATGGCATCTCCTTCGGGCACGGGTGCAGGGGTACGCCCAAGCGCAGCGTTCTGAGCGGCCATCGCGTCCAGCTGTGCTCTCAAGAGTCATTTCCTAACCAAAGCTGCCTTCTTTTCAACCTCCCACTCACTCGCTCACTGCATCCACGAAATTCTCCTAGCTGTAACAAAACCGCCCGCGGTCTCATTCGTAACTGTATTTCCCAACAACAAATTGAATGGCACACCTTTTTGGATACACTCGGGAGCCTCGAGGCGAGACTGAACCCAACAGACGCTGATGAACCCAGGATCCCGAGACTCGAGGAGCTCACCAATGTCCCTCCAGACTGGCCGGCCCAGGAGACCCTTGAGGTTCACGATAAGCTCTACGGTGCCATCCGTCAGAGGAGGAGAAGGTGGAGGAGGAGTAGGAGTAGGAGTAGGAGTAGGAGTCAAGCTAGCCAGCTCGAGCGAGTCAAGCATGGCATGCCCAGTCCCACCCGCCCTCCCACAACATAAGAAGCAAAGCTGGCACAACTGGGGGCCGAAGTCACACCGGCCAGCCGGTTTGGTACAGCTGATGCGGCCGCGATGGCGGTTGCCGACGGGAACTGGCGAGCGCGTGTTGAATGCCGCGCACGCATTGCCAGACGAGTCGAGAATGGCCCGGTACACCGCAGGAAGCCAGAGGTGGCCGGAGGAAGCCCGACGGTCTGACAGGACACCCCAAAGCATTTTTGTGAAAAAGCATTGGGTTTTTGATGTTTTTATGTTGAAATGCTTGCAAACACACGGTGTTCGGTAGGATTCTGACATGAACGCGCGAGTGTGCTCTTTGTGGTATTTTTTGCACAGGATTCGCGGCCTGGGTGCATGACAGAGCATCGCGAGTGCACCGCGCGATGACGTGAAATCGCTGGATTTGACAGAATTCTTAAGATTCCTATGGTTTTCCTATGATTTCAGCAAGAGAGCCTGGGCGGGAAATTTGTACAATTTTTGTGAAAAAGCATTGGGTTTTTGATGTTTTTATGTTGAAATGCTTGCAAACACACGGTGTTCGGTAGGATTCTGACATGAACGCGCGCGTGTGCTCTTTGTGGTATTTTTTTCAATGGATTATCGCCGTGGACGACAGGACGTCCATGTCGAGAGGAAAAAATAAGAAAAATATTGATTTTGTATTGTTTTTTATAGGTTAGGATGGGACCACCCGGATGCGGCCCCTATCTGCCGGCCTGAGGGGGGAGTAGGAGTATATTTAATAATAAGGAATAAGAGTAGGAGTCAAGCTAGCCAGCTCGAGCGAGTCAAGCATGGCATGCCCAGTCCCACCCGCCCTCCCACAACATAAGAAGCAAAGCTGGCACAACTGGGGGCCGAAGTCACACCGGCCAGCCGGTTTGGTACAGCTGATGCGGCCGCGATGGCGGTTGCCGACGGGAACTGGCGAGCGCGTGTTGAATGCCGCGCACGCATTGCCAGACGAGTCGAGAATGGCCCGGTACACCGCAGGAAGCCAGAGGTGGCCGGAGGAAGCCCGACGGTCTGACAGGACACCCCAAAGCATTTTTGTGAAAAAGCATTGGGTTTTTGATGTTTTTATGTTGAAATGCTTGCAAACACACGGTGTTCGGTAGGATTCTGACATGAACGCGCGAGTGTGCTCTTTGTGGTATTTTTTGCACAGGATTCGCGGCCTGGGTGCATGACAGAGCATCGCGAGTGCACCGCGCGATGACGTGAAATCGCTGGATTTGACAGAATTCTTAAGATTCCTATGGTTTTCCTATGATTTCAGCAAGAGAGCCCGGGCGGGAAATTTGTACATTTTTTTGTGAAAAAGCATTGGGTTTTTGATGTTTTTATGTTGAAATGCTTGCAAACACACGGTGTTCGGTAGGATTCTGACATGAACGCGCGCGTGTGCTCTTTGTGGTATTTTTTGCAATGGATTATCGCCGTGGACGACAGGACGTCCATGTCGAGAGGAAAAAATAAGAAAAATGTTGATTTTGTATTGTTTTTTTTAGGATAACAGGTTGGATGGGACCACCCGGATGCGCCCGCTATCTGCCAGCCTGAGGGGGGAGTAGGAGTATATTCTAATAAGGAATAAGGATAGGAGTGGGAGTAGGAGTAGGAGTAGGAGTAGGAGTAGGAGAGTAGGAGTAGTAGTAGTAGTCGGTAGTAGTAGTAGTAGTAGTAGTAGTAGTAGTAGTAGTAGTAGTAGTAGTAGTAGTAGTAGTAGTAGTAGTAGTAGTAGTAGTAGTAGTAGTAGTAGTAGTAGTAGTTGTAGTAGTAGTAGTAGTAGTAGTAGTAGTAGTAGTAGTAGTAGTAGTAGTAGTAGTACTAGTAGTAGTAGTAGTAGTAGTAGTAGTAGTAGTAGTAGTAGTAGTAGTAGTAGTAGTAGTAGTAGTGTAGTAGTAGTAGTAGTAGTAGTAGTAGTAGTAGTGTAGTAGTAGTAGTAGTAGTAGTAGTAGTAGTAGTAGTAGTAGTATAGTAGTAGTAGTAGTAGTAGTAGTAGTAGTAGTAGTAGTAGTAGTAGTAGTAGTAGTGTAGTAGTAGTAGTAGTAGTAGTAGTAGTAGTAGTAGTAGTAGTAGTAGTAGTAGTGGTGGTCGTAGTAGTAGTAAGCTAATAGTAGTAGTAGGTAGTAGTAGTAGTATAGTAGTAGTAGTAGTAGTAGTAGTAGTAGTAGTAGTAGTAGTAGGAGGAGTAGGAGGAGGAGGAGGAGGAGGAGGAGGAGGAGGAGGAGGAGGAGGAGGAGGAAGCGGAGGAGGAAGGGGGAGGAGGGATGGGGAGGAGGAGCGTTGCCCCTGACACCTCCTGCGCCTCCGCGATCTCCTGGGCGAGGTCCGTCTTTTCCAGGCAGCAGAGCACGCGGCGGGGGTCCACCCCGAGCAGCCGCGCCCGCCGCCGCAGCGACCTCACGGAGGGCTGCTGCGGCGGCGCCGCGGGCCTGAGGCGGCTCCTGTGGGCTCGCCCACGACACAGACGACGACGACGAGGACGACGACGACGAAGACGACGACGACGACGACGACGACGACGACGACGACGACGACGACGACGACGACGACGACGACGACGGTGGAGGCAAAGAAAGCGAGGACCTGGGCACCGGGCCGTCTTGGCGGGCCCATTTTGAAGCGCCTGGGCCCTCTGAGCCTCGTGAGGGATGCCCTGGAGGCCGCGAGAACCTAGGTCACCGAGCTTTGCGCATCACGCCCCGCAATGCCCCACGCGCGCGATCATCTTCGCGCCCTCACGCCCCCACGCTGTCCTCGCTGGAGAAAGGTAACCTCTCCGGCCCAAACCGCGACGCGCGAATAGTGATCATCTTCGCGCCCCTGCGGGTGACCTTGGAAGACCACGACCAAGACTGAGCGCAGAAAAGTCGGGACAATTCTTGGCCATCGTCGATTTTTGAGGCGGCCAGGGGGTTTGAACTGGTTGGGGCCCCAGGAAATTGGCCAGGAGAGGGGATGAAGCCCAATCCGCTCCAAATCGGTCCCCAGACCCCTTCTGGAGTCCATCTGGTGCAGTTTTTCACTCCGGATCTGTTTGTCACTACCCTGGGGCCCGAAAACGAAGCCCAGAGGCCTAAAAAGGCAGAAAACCTTCCCGAACCCAGAACTTGGAACCTCCCTTCCTGCTGGCGGGAACCATGTCTGGCCCACCTGAGACCCCCTGCCAGCTCCAACATGTGAGCCTCTAGACCTGTGTTCCGAGCGAGGGGGTGCTGCGCGCCCCGTTCTGCCGCCTCTCTCGCCAGCAGCCGCGGGGAACGATGGGAGCCGACCTCCTCCGCGGCGGGGCCGCGGGGTCATCGTCCACCTTGGCCATCGTCGGCTCGTAGATCATCCTTGGACATGTTCGATTCGTCAACCTTGGCCATCGTCGATTCGTAGACCATCGTCGATTCGTAGATCATTCTTGGCCCTCTTCGATTCGTCCACCTTGGCCCTCGTCGATTCGCAGACCATCCTCGCGAATCGGCGACGGCCGGCCCTGGGGGCGGCTCCTGCAGGGTTGGGCGAGCGTCCAGGGCAGGAACACGATGAGGAGCTCGGCTCGTGGGCAGCTCGCGCGGGAGCTCTTCGTTGAGCACGGTTTGAGCAAGACGAAGCACGGACGAGGACAAAATTCAGGTGAGGATGCATCGGGAATCGCTGAGATCCGGCGGCTCTGGAGGATCTGGGGGGGTTCTTCGTGAGAGCGGTCTGAGGGCTACCGCGCTCGATGAGGGGGGGGCCCTTAGGCTGGACGAGCCCAGATTACACTGGAGTCGTAGCGGGATTCAACGCTGGGACGATGCCGGACTAGGCCTGTTCTGGGCCACGGATCTACCAGCGCCGATGCCGCATGTAGCATCCCAGGAGCTGCACCCTAACGCAGGGAGGTGTAGCAGGTCAGGGCAGATTGGGGCACGGCAAGGCAAGGCGGTCTGCGCGCCTGCTCCAGAGCGGTCACCCAGGAACAAACTGAAGGGGAACTGGGACACACAAATAAATACACACAAATAAAAATATCCCCCATACTTTCCTATATTTTCTAGGTTTTTGTCTTCCCCCCCACTTCCCATATTTCCCCATATTTTCTGGGAATCGCCGATAAGTTGTGTCTGTGTGTTTTTTCCCCTCCTGACAAACGGGCGAAGAATCTGGCGCAGGATCGGCCAAACGCAATGTGAGCAGACTGCTACTTCATCTGAGGCGATGGCAAAAAGGGGGGGGGGGGGGGGGGGGGCGAATCAGCGCATCAGCTCCGGTAGCTGGCTTTCCTGGCGCCAGAGGCCGAAGAAGGCGCCCAGCGGCGGTGCCGAAATTGGCGGCGCGCAACAATTTCCGTACCCCACCTCGCTCCCCAAAATTCCCCTCCTTCTCTCGTCCGAACCGATCCTCGGCCGGGGACCACTGCCAGAGTGCGGGGCTGGCGCCGCCGCCGCCGCTTCCCGCGGCCCCTGCGGCAGCCGCGCGCGGGATGCCGACGTCGGCCTCGCCAGCATCGCCGCCGCCGCCGCCGCCGGCAGCGCTGGCGCTCCCCGAGTGCTCGGCGCCGCCGACGGCGTCTCGGCGTCGCTCAGCGTCGACGACGGCGTCGCGGGCGACGGCGGCAGCGGAGGGGGCGGCGCTGGCGAAACTGGCGGCGTCCGGGGCGCCGGTGCGGGGCTGCCGACGAGGGCCTCCCAGGGGGCCCAACAATGGGGAAACAAGGGAAGGGTGCAGTCAAGCTACTGCCATAAGGAACGCAGAATAAGTAACGACCCCCCCCCCCATCTAGGCCCGAAACAGCATGGGTGCACAATGAGCGCTAGCGGAGCAAACATGGAAGGACCTGAGGAACAGCGAGCCCCTTCCGACCCCAAGCTGTTCCTTGTTTCAGCGCCTTGGCTGTGGCTGTATGGGCCTTCCACTTCAGGCTGGCCCCGGCCTCCGCTGCTCGGACGCAGCTGCACACTCTTCTACGGCATCCCCGCGCCGGCTTTCATGGTCTGAGCGGGCTCCCACCCCTTCCCCCAGCTCTGTGCTCCCCCGCCTTCGTGCCTCCATTCGCTCCTGGTGCACCCCCCCGCCTGCCACGACCGCCGCCTGACTGCCTCGGACCACTTGGCGCCCGCGGGCCCAGAGCAGTAGCGGTGCGGGCACCCTTTCCTCCCCTGATCCTCGAGGCGCGCAGCCGCGCTCCGCGACCGCTCCAGCGCCCCGCGGGCCGCCCGCAACGAGGCCTGCAGCGGCAGCAGCGTCGGCGCTTCCGGCAGCAGCGCGGCCACGGTGAGGGGCCCCTTGGCGGCGCCGCGGCAGTGGCGAGCAGCTGCCTCCAGGCGCTCCTGGGGACGATCTGAACATGTCGCCGCGCCGTTTGTTCTCGACGCGCCCGAGTAGACGACGCCGACACCACGGCAAGCACACGGCAAGCCCTGCGCCCTGCGCCCAAGTAGGCGATGCCAGCACCACGGCAAACCCACAGACGTGAGGCCACGCGTCGCAACAAACGGCGAGGCGACGTGTACAGCGATCGTGCTACCAGAAGGAGCCCTGAATCAGGAACGAGGGGGCGTTTCTGGCCACGGCGAGCCTCGGCCACGAAGAGGTTCCCCGACCTAGATCTAACCCGAGCCACTAATGGGGAACGCAGAAAGATACGGTGAGGGCGTTGGATAAGAGCCCCCTGAGGAATCCAGGGCCTGAAAGCCTGGTGGAGCAGGGTCTGAACATCCGGCGTAGCAGCAACTGAACAGATACCACCGCCGCCCTCATCAGGAACGGAATCCTCCAGGGTCTGAAGCCTCTTGGGCACATTCCTGAACGAAATCCCCCACCATACCGAACAGGACCTGCAATGGCTGCTCTCGGCGTGGGTCCGAGGGCTCTGGAGTGCATTCGACCGGGAGGTCTCGACCCCTTCCCTGGGACCGGCTTTTCATCCCGAGTGTCGCTTCTTGACGGTCCTGGGGCCTGGCGAGGGCCCCCGGAGGCCGAAAACGGTGCAAAAACCTCCGCCGCTGCCTGCCACGACGACGGCCCCGGAACAGCCCCACATCGTTCGCTGCTGCTTCCTCACGACGACGGCTGCGCTCCATGGAGCGCCGGCAGGCGGCCGCCGCGGCGCCCGCCGGCGCCCTCCTGGGGCGGAGCATGGCCGCCTCCACCGCCTGTTGTGTTGCGTCTTCGGGGGGCCTCGTCTGTCCCGTCGCGCCGCGGTCCGCGTTGAATCCATGCCGAATCCGCTTCGAATCCACGCCGGATCCACATCGAATCCGCGCCGAGTCCGCGGAGGAACACAAGACAAGACCGAAGATGCAGAATCACAAAATCACTCGGGAGCCCTAAAACGGGGGTCAATGCAAGCGGGCTGCAACGCAGCGGTTGCACTGACCCGGGCTAGCGCCAGGATCCTGCAAAGCCTGGCTGCCCCGGGCCTTGCATGGACCCGGGCCAGGGCGTCCCCGAACCAAGCCTGCACCTCCGCGTCCGGCGCCCCGAGGCAATGCTCCAGCGACATGCCGACCACCCGCGCCAGCGGGCGCCGCTCGGGCACGCCGTCCTCGGCGGCTCAGAGGTGGGGGGCCCCGAGGGATGCGGGGTCCTGGGTCGACGCCTCCGAACTGTATGGTCTGCCGAGGGTGCGGTGTGCAACCCGCACCCTGCTGGTCCGATTTCTGAAAACTTGGCTGGGGCTCAAAGTCGAGGGATGCCTGCGGGCAAATGAGCCCCGCGGGGGTGTCCGATGCCCCCGTGCGGCGACTCCGACGGGTGTGGTTCCCATAGGGCGGGCGAGGCCCTCGACAGAGTTCTCCGCCGCGCCCCGACGAGGCCCGACAAGGGTGTAACGTGGTGCCCCCAAGACTCCACGGACACAGATCGCAAACCACACCCATGCGTAAGCACACCGTTTGTAGTCGCCGACCAAGGGTATGAGAGATCCTTGGCAGTCGACACAGCCGCGGCGCTCGCTGGCGTTTCTCTGCATCTTGGGGCCTCCTGGATGCTTCTCGGCGCCACGGCTGCATCCGCGTCAGAAACGGGTCAGGATGGACCCCGGGAGGGGTCCAAGGACCGACTTTGAAGCAACCTCGAACTTCCTGTCCTGGAGATCCGGGCGCTGTAACTTTTTCGCGCCGGGTGCGTTCGCCAGGCCTCGGGCCCCAGGACCACCAAGAATCGATCTGGCTCGGAAAATGCCTCAGAAAGATAGGACCCAGGGGCTCTCGTCGCGATTCCTCGCGATGTGGTATTTTTTCAAACGCCGGGAGGGATCCCAAGCTGAGCCTTCACTGTCAGAGGCCACTCCTCCTCAAGGCCCCACCCCCTCATGATGGGCAGCGTCAGGGGGGGGGGATCGGCTCAGGGGGGGGGTGACATCGAGCTGGCATCGGGGATTGCATCGCCGATGCGAGGCCTGATATTCCCACCCCGCCCGGGAGCGTGCGGACTCGCTATCGGGGGCCCATCGCCGATCCATCGGCGATGCCTTGCCGATGCCAGCTCGGTGTCCCTCCTCGGAGCCACCCCGCCCTGTCGGCGCCCCTGGTCCGAATGGTTTTCGGGCCAGAACTCGGGCCTCCAGCGGCCGCTCGGGACGATCTGGGCACCCCGCGGGAGGGTGCCCCGAGGCTGGACAACCGCCGAGAACCGACGAAAACGCGAGAACAAATCCCAAACTTCAAAACTCCCTGAGCCCATCCCCCCTAACGTTGCCCCTGATCAGGAATCAAAAATCGATCCCTGGATCTCTCCTGGGGCGCCTTCTGACCAAGAATTCGAGTCGGGTCCAGCCGTGGCCCCAAGGGCGCCCCGAGACGATCGGAAGCCTAACGAAAGCGAACCTCCAAGCGCGAACCCCGCACCTCTGAGCCCAACCCTCGGGGGCCCCATCTTCGAACCGCACGCCGCCGTCCTCGGGCTGCCTGGCCCCCTCCGCGCCGCGCCGCGGCAGCAGCGCGCGAGCGGCGCGCAGCACGCGCGCGGGCCACGTCGGCTCCTGCGGAGGCAGCAGGCGGCCACGGCCACATCGAGGACACACACCCTGTGGGGATGCCCCGCCCACGCCAGCCGTGGTCAGAGCACCGAGGCCGGCAGCGGTCAGAGCACCGAGGCCGGCTCAGTACCGGCTGGGGTCCGCGTGGGCGCCCCGAGACGGCCAAGGCGACCACGGCCACCCCCCACGAGTTCACTTCGAGGTCGGCGGGTTCTCCCCCGAGGGGCCCTCCAGAAAATCCACCCACGGTCGAGAACTTTTGCTCAGCGTGTCGCGGCGGCGGCCCCGGCGACACGCTATGCCTTGCAGGCGTATTGCGTGTCGCTCCGCTGCGCGGGGCGGGAGGCCGGGAGAAGCTCGGGGCATAGACGCTCGGGGGCGGAAAGCGGCAAGCGTGTCGCGCCGAAGCGTGGTGGGCCAGAGCCAGCGGCGCGACACGTTGAGCCAAAGTTTGGGTTCCCTTTGGTCGTGTCCCAACCATCCTGTGATGTTGGGTTCTCGTTTTGATCAGACAGCGCCCCGCGTTCCCCCTCCTCCTCTTCCTCCTCCTCCTCCTCCTCCTCCTCCTCCTCCTCCTCCAATCCCATCCCTCGCCTCTGCCCTCCGCATGTCCTCATCGTCTTAACTGGGCGCATTGAATTTCACCTCAATTTCGGCGCACCTCTCACACGTTCCGTGACCCCATAAATTGCTCCACCGAAGGCCCCAGTGGAAGTGTCCGCATGCAGTTCCCCACCTCCATTTCGGCGGACCCCTCGCACGTTTCGTGGCCCCCCAGGGTGCTCCACCGACGGCCCTGGTGGGAGGGTCCACATGCAGTTGCGCTTCGATTTCGGCGCACCCCTCATCCGTTTCGTGGCCCCATAGGGCGCTCCGATGGCAGAGTCCGCATTCAGTTTCACCTCCATGTCGGCACACCCCTCGCACGTTTCGTGGCCCCATAGAGTGCTCCACCGACGGCCCTATAGTGGCAGGGTCCGCATGCAGTTGCACTTCAATTTCGGCGCACCCATCACATTTTTCGTGGCCCCATGGGGTGCTCCACCGAAGGCCCCAATGGCATGGTCCGCATGCAGTTACAACACCTCAATTTCGGCGCACCCCTCACGCGTTTCGTGGCCCCACAAGGATGCTCCATCAAGGGCCCCAGCGGCAGGGTCCGCATGCAGTTCTACCGAAGGCCCCAGTGGCAGGGTGCGCATGCAGCTCAACCGCCATTTCGGCGCACCCCTCACACGCTTCGTGGCCCCATGGGGTGCTCGACCGAAGGCTCCGGGGGCAGGGTGCGCATGCAGTTGCACTTCCATTTCGGCGCACCCCTCGCACGTTTCGTGGCCCGAAAGGGTACTCCATCGAAGGCCCCAGCAGTTCCACCTCCATTTCGGCGCACGCCTTACACGTTTCGTGGCCCCATAGGGTGTTCCACCGACGGCCCCAGTCGCAGGGTCCGCATGCAGTTGCACTTCAATTTCGGCGCACCCCTCACACGTTTCGTGGCCTCATGGGGTGCTCCAAATGCAGTTCCACCTCCATTTCAGCGCACCCCTCACACGCTTCGTGGTCCCGTAGGGAGCTTCACGAAAGGTTCCAACGGCAGGGTCCGAATATCGGCTCCGAACCCGAGTCGGCACACTCCTCACACGTTTCGTGGTCCCATAGGGAGCTCCACCGAAGACGGTAGTCAGAGCTGCGGGACATGGTTGGATCCTTCGCCAAGGTAATTTAATGCTCTGGCAGGCCAGGCCTGCGGATGCAAGGCGGGCGATTTGGGTATGGTCATTTGGGAAATGGTTGTTTTGGGTATGGCCGTTGGTATGCCGGATCGGCATCAGAATTGTGGTGTATTGCGTAGAACCAAGGGGAACCCAAGCCAGGGCTCCTGACCTTAACCTTCCGCAGCAATTATCGATCCAACCCCCGCCCCTCCCTCCTCCCCCTTCCGGCGACAACTTCGCACTCCCCGCCCCTGGAAGTGATACCCCCGGGGCGCCGGATTTCAAGATGTGGCTCTCGCCTCAGAGCCGCGCCGCACGTGCGTCTTCGCTCTTCGTCGTGCCACGACGGCTCCGCGCCCGCAGCGCGCGCGGCGGCCTCCACGGCCGCGCGGCAAAGGCGGTGCGTCAGCTCGCTGCCCCGCGCGAGCTGCCGCAGCTCGGCCAGCAGCACGCGCGCGGTCTCCGCCAGGGGCGGCGGCCACGGCTCGAGTGTCGGGCAGTGCCAGAAGGGGGGGGGGCGGGTGGCCACCACGATAGAGAAGCAGAACACGGCGTGCGCATAAACGATGGAGGGCGGCGCGCGGGCGCGAGGGCGCGAGGATAACCGCACGTCGCTCATCGCGGGGAGCGTAGGAACCTAGGATTCTAGAAACGTCCTCACGTCGCGAGTTAGGTGACCTAGAAACCTGACGTGTCCGACCTCCCTTTCGATCCGCTCTGCTGTCGGTTCACATGCCGTCGGTCGCCGCCGCCTGCTTCCTGTCCCTGGTGCTGCTGCTGCCGCCCACGGCCGGCGCCGGGCTTCTGACGTTTGGATGGCCGCACTGACGGAGCTCCGCGCGGAGTTCCAAAAGCCGACGTTTGTGCAGTTGCTGTTCCGATGCGAGGGGGGGGGAGGCCCGCAGCTCTCGGACGTTCTCGTCGGCCCTCTGGCCTCATCGGGCCTCGGGATGCGTTCCAGCGGCTGCGCTTCGTCGAGAGCGCGTCGGAGGTGCCCGGGTCGCCCCGAACCGCCGCCGGAGGCCCGAGCTGGGGCCCCAAAGCCAAAGGCGCAGCCTCCCCGAGGAACCTCCTCGAGGGGCGAGCCCTGCAGCCGGAGCCCGAGCCCTGCAGCTGGAGCCCGAGCCGCGGCCGGAGCCGCAGCCCGAGCTGCAGGCCGAGCCGCAGCCCGAGAGGCCCTCAGAGAACGAGAGAACACGCGAGGGGACACAAGACCCTTCGGAGGGCCACACTGCCATAGAAATGTAGAAGGCATGGGCCGCGACCCTCAGGACACGAGGGTACCCTTGATCGGCAGGGTCGACTTACTAATCGACCTCGACCGTACGTCGCCCACCGAAGCGACCACAGTTGGTCAGAAAAGGCGAAGGTACCGATGCCGCTGCTCGTCCTGGATTCTCTCCGAAATTCTGGTCGAACGCACCCCAGGAGACGTTTGTGTAATTAGCGGAGTGGGTACCTCTTTGCTCCCCCACTGAGGGAGGTCGCCGCCTCCTCGAGGAAACGGGCCTGGACACCCCAGGACTCCCAGAGGCGCTCAAAAACGTTCAAGGTCTCCCCGATCCTCGATTCTCCCTTCTTCCCCAATCCTCGACTTCCAGAAGGAAGTTTCCCCCGTGAAATGACGCCCCCGAACACTCCAGAGCCTACCAGAACGACCCCAGACGTCCAAAAAACTCCTGGAGCTTGTTGTGGACACCCCCAGGACACCCAAAGGCGCCCCTCAACGTCCAAGGTCTCCCCGATCCTCGACCCTCTCTCCTCCCTCTCAGTGGTGGCCCCCCCTGGCACTGCCCGAGAGGGGCGCTACCCCGCCCTCCTGCCCTGCTCCGTCCGGGAACAGCTCCGACACCCGGGCCTGGAGCCTCCCCTGCTCCTCGGCGGTCAGGGCGGGCACTCGTCGTCGGTCTGTGATGATCGGCGGCGCGCCCGGGGGCGAAGGCGGAAGGGGGGCGGGCCCTCTCGCAAGGCTCAGGAAGTCTCCGGCCTTCCGAGGTGCTTCCCCGGCCATCTCCGGAGGCACAGAGGAGGGCCCCTCGGGAGGCCGGAGGGCTTCCAAGGAGCCCCGCCGCTTTCCGAGAATGCCAGCACCCTCTCGCGTTCCCTCTCGGCGCGCCGCCGAGATGACCGCGCGGATGCTGGCGCAAGCAGCGGAGTCCGCCACCGCGCCTTCGGCACTCAGGGGCGTGCTACAGCGTTCTTGTTGCTGTCTGGCAAGGCGCGGATACGGACACGGCTCCCCCAAAAGTACTGGCGCGTGGAAGTGCGGTGAAGCACTGCGACGCCACAGAGCGCATACGGTAGGCTCGTGCGGCGTCGGCACGCGCAAAGTTTTTTAACATCTCGTCGATCGTTCAACCTTGAATCAATCTCGGCCCCGATCGTTCAAGGTTGAATTCCGCTGGGTCCAATGGTGTCACCATGTCCCTGGGTGCTTCCGCGTCGCAGAATTCAACCCTGAACGCTTTCGCCGGCTCCGCCGGCGCGACATCGCCGCATGAACCTACCGTACTGGGAGGAGAAAGGGAGGGAAGAGGAAGAGGAACTCGTGTCCGCACGTTTGCTGCTCGGCGCTCTGCTCGCCCCACGGCAACAGCTCCAAGGCGGCCCCAACCCGCCTTAAGATGGCTGCAGGATGCATCAAGTCAAGTTCGAGACGGCCCGACGCCCTCCCAGCGGCTCCGAGCCCCCGAGAGGAGCACATGGAGCACTCAAGCAAGTCTCTGGGCCATATTCTTGTGATTCGCGTCGCGCCTCCGCGTCCTCACCTACCACCTCCTCCCTCCTTCCACCCCCTATGCTCAGTCCCACACTCATACTGACCCTTACTCAGACTCACTGACACTCAAACCCACTCACCCGCTCAGATCCACTCGTACTTTATTCACCCCTACTCATCAAACTCCCTCATACGCAGACTCGTTCTTACTCATATACACTCAGACTCTGACTCACACACACTCCGACTGAACTCACTCATAATTAAACGACTCATATTCAAACTCATCTTATGAATCCCTCGCGCTCAGATTTATTCACACTCGATTCACTCATATCCAGACTCGCTCATACTCATACTCGCTCCTACTGGGACTCACCCATACCCAGACTCACTCATACTCATATTCAGTCAGATTATGGCTCACCTAAACTCATGCACACTCAGACTCGCTCACACACGGTCGGCTTTTCGCATACACGCTCTCACGCACACACACACAGCGTCCGTCATGTGCATGACCACTGCGACGTAGCAAACCTGGCACTTGGGCATCCGATGGGGGAGCCGCCAGGGGGTATCGCACATGCCCGTTCGCGCGCAGATCGTGTGGGTGTCTCGAGCGGCACGCCCGTTCGCGGCCGTGGCCGCGTCTCTCTTCAGAGCCTTCTGCTCGCTGCGACGAAGCAGGCATGGCATCTGGACCACCCAAGGGGGAGCTGCCAGGGGCGTATTGCACGGGCCCGTTCGCGTTCAGATTGTGGGCATCACCGCAGTGCAGCCAGCATGTCGATTGGAACGTCCCAGGGCGAGCTCACCAGCGGTGCGCCACGGGCTGCTTGGCCCACTCATGCCCTACTCGCTTGCAGTCAGGCCCACTCGTACTCATCGGCACAGCCTCGCTCATACAGCACTCATACGCAGGGAACTCGCCAGAAAAGAGATGCACACATGAGGATCTCCGCGTCGAACACTTGTGTGTTCAACGCTCCCCCATGAGGATTTGCAGAAATGAAAGCGCCTCTCCTGTGCGAAGGGCCCAATGGCCACTGCGTTGCTATCAGGCCCCTACCGGCATTGCAGGGGCAAGGGGGGTCGATGCATCCCCCCTCTGAGCATATCCCCCCCTACCGTTGCCCCTGAAGAGCGCTGCAGGGCCCTCCTTCCCGCCTCCCTGCTTCCTCGCTTCCTTCCCCTCGCTCTCCCTGGGTGCTGCCAGGCGCGCGACCGTCGCAACACCTTGCCGCGACCTCCGCGGAGGTCCAGCGGGGCCGGAGCACACCCAGACCTCGCGAGACCTCGCCCTGTCTGGGCGCAGCCATGCGCGCAGCCATCACTACCCCTGCCGCGAACCCTGATGAGTCCCAGCGAGGCTGGGGCCCATCCAGCCACAGCGGGACCTCGCCTTCCCTGGGCGCTGCCAGGCGCGCGCATCGGCCGCCACTTCGCTGTGACCCCACAGCGGGTCCTCGCCTTCCCGGGGTGCTGTCGGGCGCGCGGATCTGCCGCCGCTTCGAAGCTGCTCCTCTGCTGCGCCTCCGAACGGCCCGGCGTCACGCACAGATCTGGCGGGGGGGGCCCGGCGGCCGACCGCGTGGCCTGTCCTGGGCCCCCCTGGGATCGCTGGGGGCACTCGGCCTCGCAATGCGGGGCGATGAGTGCACAATTCCCTGGGTCGCGTGCACGCGGCGGCGCGAGACGATCAAGAACTTCGGGCCCTGGCCTGGCCAGGTGCACACCGAAACGTCACCCCTCCGCCAGTCGAGCTCCCTGGCGCGGCACGTCGGGCGCAGCCGGGCTGCAGATTTCTGTTGCCACTCGCCCCCCCCCCCCCCCCGGGAATCTCTTCTCCACCGCCAGCCTTCATGACGGCGTGGGGAAGAAGGTCGCTTGGGGGGGCCTGGGTCGCTCGGGCCGCTCGTGTATCACTCGGGCCTGGGTCGCTGGGTCGCTCGGGCTGTCTGTTGCCTCGCTCGGATGTGGTAGGTGACATTCGCCACCGTGCCTTGGCACACAGTGGAGTGCGTCCTCGGGTCTCTGAGAGTCCTCTCTCTCTCTCTCTCTCTCTCTCTCTTTATATATATAAAATGAAAACCGAATATTGAGAGGATCCCTCAAGGGGCCCACCGTTCCGGGATCTACCGGCCGTTCTGGGGGCACGGTCGCGTGACTTTTTCAGGAATGCCAGAGAGCGCGAAGACGGCCCAAGGGAGTCCTCATGGGGCCTCCAAGATGGTCCAAGAGGGCCACCAGATGACCCAAGAGCGCTCCAAGACGCACTCGATGGCCTCAATATGGCCAAAATAGCCCCCAAGACGCCCCAACATGGCTCCAAGAGTCATGCGCATAGTTACCCAAGAGACAAGTTTTCGAAAGATTTTACTGTTCGGGCTTCCAACGCTCCACGACGGCTCACGAGGTGTTCAAGATGTCCCACGACTGCCAAAGAGTCTCAATGCTGCCCAAGAGGGTCCCAAGAGGGAGAACACGAACTGACATTTCGAGCCCTCCGCCCCAAGATGACCCCCCGAGACCACCAGCAGGTCCACAAGAGACCCCCAAGAAGCCCCAGGAGTCTCCCAAGAGGTCCGAAAGAGGCCCCACCAAAACTGCCTCCAAGAGGCTTCCGAGATGCACCCCACGAGATAGATCACGACAGGCATCCAAACGACCTCTGACCTACAACGTAGGCACGGTGGCGGGATGGGCTGCATGCCACTCGATGCATGCGATGCTGCGATATGCCATACAGCGATGGGCTGCTATGAAGCGCAATGCGATGCCATGCGCTGCACTGCCATGCTTGGCTGTGATGTGCAATGCTATGGTATGCTATGATATGCAATGCCGTGCAATGCCATCCCATGATTGGTTGTGCAATGCAGTGTCATGCTATGCTATGCTAGGCAATGCTACGTCATGACATGTTGGGCAATGGTGCGCTTTGCCATGCCGTGCAACCTCTTGCTATTCAATGCTATTTAACTATGCTACGCTGCTGCGCCAAGGTCTGCTAGACGTTATCTACTACGCGTTGCTACCATGAATTGCACTGCATTATAGCTCATTCCATCGCATTACATATGTTTGCCTTCAGCCAGGAAGTCCTTCAGTTCCCACTCTTCTCTGGAAAAGTTACCTCAACAAAGGTCTCTGCGATCCCAGAGGTGGCCCCAGAGCAACGCAACTAGCCCTCAAGGCAACCCGAAAGCCATTTCGAAACGCCCGAGAAGCACGGCCCCAGGACCCACCCAGATAGCCTCGAGATGGGTCTACCAAGCCGCGTGGAACCATCGCGCCCGGGACGGACCCCAAGATCCTCCAAAGGCTCTAACAAGCCCCCCCCCAAAAGGCACCCAAGATGGCCCCGAAGATCCCTCAAGAGGCCCCGACGACGCCTCCACCACCGCCCAAGAAAATCTCAAGAGAAGGCGCACCGAACATTGCAGCGCTTCGGCCACTCCACGCCACAACATCGTGGCGCTGCTTCCCATACTGCCCCTGAGATGAATCTGAAAGGCCTCTCGGGAGAACTCGGCAGCAAAATCCTCAACTAGAGGCCTCTCAGATGGGGTCGGAGCAGATGGGGTCGGAGGATCGCGCCGCATCGTCGATGCATCGGCGATGTCGGCGTGGAGAAATGCGTCGCGATCCTTCGACCCCATCTGCTCAGACACAACCTGGGAGGCCCAGAAACATCCTGAACTAGAGGAAGAAAAAGCGGCATGAACACAAACCTTCAACGGTCCGCGCGAATTTCTTGGATCGGCGCTGGACCCGACTCCCTGGCGCCCGGAGCGCCGAAACATTGTGTATATACAGTTTTGTCTTCTTTGACGGACCCCACCTGGGAGGCCCCGAGACATCCTGACTGCGGCTCGACGCCGCGCCGTCGCAACGGCGGCGGAGCAAGGCGAGTTGATCGCAAACGCACCGGTCTTCCGAGCCGCGCCCAGCCGTGGCGACGAGGGCCCCCCCCGAAGGCCAGCTGCTGCTGTCTCACCTGGCACCTCTTCTGAACTCTCAGCGCGTCTCGGCGGCGCGCTGCCGCAGCGGCGGCGGGACTCGCCGCAGGCAGCCCGCTGCTTCCCGGCTGGCCCCGCCGCGGCCCCTTTGGCGGCCGCCTGCGGAGGCGCCCCCGCGGCGGCAGCGCCGCGCTCCGCTGGCGTGTCCGTGGACTCGCTGCCGGCCGCGAACCGCCCGTCAGGGGTCCTCCTCTGCCGCTTCCTCGAGGGGCGGCGGCAGGCTCAACGTGCGAGGTCCTCGGTCGTTTTCGTCGGTTCTGAGCGGCTTGCCAGCCTCCGGACGCTCTCCAGCAGCTGCGGGGTGCCCAGATCGTCCCGAACGGCGGCCGGGGAGCCGAGTGATGACCCGAAAATCAAGGGGCAACGTTTGGGGGGGATGGGCTCAGGGGGGGAAACATCGAGTTGGAATCGGCGATGCATCGCCGACAGGGGCCTGATGGGCCACCCCGCCCAGGAACGTGCGGATTCACTAATTATCGGGGGCCCATCGCCGATCCAACCACTCTGCCGTTTCCTTCGGGCACGCGCTCACATGGATTAGGGATCCGTCGCTATCATGGACTACGGATCGGGGACTGTGACCACCCAAACACGGCACCAGTGCCGCCCAGTTTGGCGACGAAGCGCGCCGACGTGGCATGGAAGCGGGGCCCGTCGCTGATCCACGCGCCTTGGTCCCAGACATCTGGCCGCTGCAATTTTTTCGATGCGTGGGCCCCTGAGGTCTGGACCACTTCCCTAGGGCCGGCTTTTCGTCCTGAACACTTTTTTGACGGCCCCGAATCCCGGCGAGGGCCCCTGGGGGCCGTTAACGGCCAAAAACCCACCGCTCCAATTTGTTTAGGGCGTCGGATCTCTTGGGTCCCTGTTTGCGATGCCCTGCTACCTGGGGGGCCGCGATCCGGTCTCCGCCCGGCGGGACTCGCCGCTGCCGTGGCCGCACGCCCGCGGGCGTCGCTGGCTGGTCGGTTCCTGCGCGGCCGGGTCGAAGGCGTAATCGCCGCCGTTGGCCTTCAGCCTTGGCAAAACAGCGACTTGCTGCGCGGGTCGCGATGAGCGACGTCAGCGCGAGGGCCCCCCTTCAGAAGGGGGGCCCTCGCGCTCTCTCGCGGGTACAACCCAGATCTGATGGCGCGGCCATCCGCCTGCCGTGGGGGTGTGGTGGCCACTTGCGGCCCGCGAGGGTGCGCGGCCACGTGAGGCGCCTTGGCGCCGCTGCGCGGAGGCGTCCGCTGTCTGCGGCAGTCACGGTGTCAGAATGGTTTCCGGGTTGGCTGGCTACGAAGGCCCTGTTAGGGCCACCGCCCCAGCGGGGTGCGAAGGAGGCCGCGGGAACCACGCCTCAGGCAGGCTTAGGCGCTATGTCGCTGTCTTCCCATTCAGCCTCTTCCAGTACTCTCCCTGCACGAAGATGACCGAAGAAGGAAGAACAGCACAGAGATAAACTTTAGGAGCCCCTCGCGGACTTCTAGGAGCGGCGCAAGATCCCCCTGGCGGCGCATCCAGCGCGCTCCTGCGCGACAGGGAGGGGGGGGGGGCCGGCCCCGATCCAAGAACGCAGCGCGGAGCTCAGACAACTTATCTTTGCGCCGTTGTCTCTTCTCCTGGATGTCGCTGTCCTTCCAACGCTCGGGCCCTCCAGGCTGCTTCATCAGATGCTGCGGGTAGAACATGAAGCACCTGGCCGACGCCTGCTTGGACCACGACACGTAGGCTGCGTCCGCCGCGTATCCCCGCTTGAGCCGCTTCAGCACGTCTGGGGCCACCGAGCGCCTGACGACGAATGCGTGGGTCTGGTACACCTTCTTGGCCGTCGAGAGTCTGTTGGTAATCTTCCAGCTCTGCTTCTCCGCCTTCCAGGGCCAGCCAGCATCGCATCGGCAGGTGTGTCAGATCGGGCTGCATCGGCACGGAATCGAAATCGAGGAGAGCGCCCCGCGGAGGGGCCGAAACCAGCTGCATGCAGCAAATCTCGAACCCCCCCCCCTTCCCTATCCCATCCCTTTCGTCCGACCTGAATGGTTCGTCCTGGCCGTGCGGCTTTCGGGTCGTAACTCAAGACTCCGGCGGCCGATCGGGACGATCCGGGCACCCCTGGAACGCCCTCGGCGAGGCGCAGCTGCTGGAGAACATCCCAAGGCTGGAACACCGCCGAGAACCGACGAACACGTTTGAAAACATTGAATCCTCAAAATGTAGCCCCTGAACCTTCTTCGAGAAGGAATCACCCGACGTCGTGATACATACATACACACATATACATATATATATATATATGTATACACACCAACGTGGCTCCCCAAATGTCTAGGCACGTCCCCTGGGAACGGTTTTCATCCTGGGTTGCTTTTTGACGGTCCCGCAATAGCCCCCAGCGGGCCGCAAAGTGGCAGAAGCCTCCCGTGGTGATTTTCGTCACGACGCGAAGGGGGTCTGGGGAGGGGCACGCTCGAGGTGCCTTCCGAGGGAGGGGTGACGGCGCACGGGCGCGTGAGCTCTGGCAGTCCTAGGTGCCTCGTCGTTCCTCGTCGCCACCATCCTCAGAATCTTGCGGTCCTGTGCAGATCTATCCCTGATCGGACGGAGAGCGCGGGGGCCACTAGAACTGCGCTCCGAAGGAGAAGGTGCGGCTTGGAGGCGGCCAGGGGATCTGAACTGGCTGGGACGCCAGAGAGTCGCTCAGGAAGGGGGGGGGGAAATCTACTGAGAATCGGTCCCCCGACCTCTCCCAGGGTCCATCTGGCGCAATTTTTCGCGTCGGATCCGTTTCTGACGGCCCTGGGGCCGCGCGAAAGGCAAAAGCAATTTTCCCGAACCCAAAGCCTCGAATCTGCCCGCCCTTCCTGCTGGCCGGAACCAGGGCTGGGCCACCTCAGGCCCCAAAACGCTCCACCATGGGAGCCTCTGGATCTGTGCTCCGAGGGGGGAGGTGCGGCGGGCCCTTTTCTGGGGAGCGCCGACCCGAGCAGCCTTCTTCACGGCCGTAGAGACATGCCCACCCAGGTAGACGACCCCCCAGTCTGGAAAGTCGCGGGCGAGCACCCGCATCTCGGCGTCGAAGATGGAGCGGGCCTCGGCCGCCGGGACGGTCAGAGTGGCGTCGTCCTCGAGCACCAGGGCGCAGTCCTATAAAGGGGCACCAGGAGACGCAACCAATCGTCACACACACACGCACACGCACACGCACACGCACACGCACACGCACACGCACACGCACACGCACACGCACACGCACACGCACACGCACGCGCACACGCACACGCACACGCACACGCACGCGCACACGCACACGCACAAGCACACGCGCACGCACACGCGCACGCGCACGCGCACGCGCACGCGCACGCGCACGCGCACGCGCACACACGCGCACACACGCGCACACACGCGCACACACGCGCACAGGCGCACAGGCGCACAGGCGCACACGCGCGCACGCGCACACGCGCACACGCGCACACGCGCACACGCGCACACGCGCACACGCGCACACGCGCACACGCGCACACGCGCACACGCGCACACGCGCACACGCGCACACGCGCACACGCGCACACGCGCACACGCGCACACGCGCACACGCGCACACGCGCACACGCGCACACGCGCACACGCGCACACGCGCACACGCGCACACCCGCACACCCGCACACCCGCACACACGCACACACGCACACACGCACACACGCACACACGCACACACGCACACACGCACACACGCACACACGCACACACGCACACACGCACACACGCACACACGCACACACGCACACACGCACACACGCACACACGCACACACGCAACCACGCACACACGCACACACGCACACACGCACACACACCCACACCCACCCACACACACACACACACACACACACACACTCCAGGGCTCCAAATATCGTTCCTTATGTAGCACCCCGCAGTTGCGGATAAGAGTGGGCGGGCGGGGGGCGCGGAGTACGTAGGTCGCGGGTGGGTCGCAGGCAAGTCGCGGGTGGGTCGCGGGGTGGGTCGTTGGTGGGTTGCGGGTGGGTCGCGGGTGGGTCGCGGGCGGGTCGCGGGGTGGGTCGCGGGTCGCGGGTGGGTCGCGGGTGGGTCGCGGGGCGGGTCGACGGTCGCGGGTGGGTGGCAGGTGGGTCGCGGGTGGCAGGTGGGTCGCGGGTGGGTCGCGGGTGGGTCGCGGGGCGGGTCGCGGTGTGGGTCGCGGGTTGGGTCGCCAATGGGCGCGGGGTGGGTCGCGGGGTGGGTCGCGGGTGGGTCGCGGGTGGGTCGCGGGGCGGGTCGCGGTTGGGACAACGCCAAACAACACCTCCACCACCACCACCACCACCACCACCACCACCACCACCACCACCAACAACAACAACAACAACATCATCAACAACGACGGCGACAACAACAACACCACTACCAACAGCAATGCCAACACCAACAACAACACCACCACCAACAACAATCATTGTAAGACTGTTCGCTCCTATCTGCTCACGTGCTAAGCAATACGTATATCCCAAACCGTCGGTACCCGCCCTAGTCGTCTTCGATCGTACCCCCTTAGGTGTATATCTCCCTTACCTGCCACGTGCATTTAGCGCAACTCCTAAAACAAGGGAAGAGAAGACGGGTGGAAGGGAGAGGGAGAAGAATGGAGCACGAGAGAAATTAGCAGGAGGGGGGCAAGGAGCAGAAAACAAGTGGTAGAACCAGACGGGCAGATCGGGTGGGCAGACCCAGAGCGGGCAGGTCGGGAAGGCGGGCCCAGGCGACCAGGTCGAGCAGGCAAGTTGCTGAAGCGTGGGTCCTGCATGAATCGCGAGGGAGTCTCGAGCGATAGCGCGATTCCCAAGTAAATCGTGAGAACAGCCAAGGCGAGAGCAAGATTCCTGAGCGCCGAGGGCGCATCGTCTGAATCAACTGCGAGGAAGTCCCACGCGAGAGCGCGATTCGGATACAAGTTGTGAGGAAATCCCACGCGAGAGCGCGATTTGGGAATACATTGTGAGGAGAAATCAGGCGGGAGCCGTTGTTGTTGGAAGCCGGGGGCCAGGGGCCCAATTTGAGCCTAGCGAATTCCCTTAATACGAAAAACAAGGTGTGAGCCCCGGGGGAAGCACTTCAATTGAAAAATACAATGGTCACCCGAGGTGGGGAGGAACGATCAACAATAGTTATTCATCAGTAGTGAGAGTTCAACGACGACGACAACAACACCAACAATAACAATAACGACAACAACGACAACGGCAGCAGCAACAACAACGACACCGACAACAACAAGGAAAAGGCGTGTGTGAGAGAGAGCCCCGTGCGCTCTAGCCGTCCGGACCCGCCCTCGCCTTATTGCGAAGGCTGCGCTCAGAGCCCCGTGGATGCATTCTGACCCCCCCCCCGCAACAGCAACAGCAACCAGCAACCAAACAAAAAAAAGTGGAACTCCCTTGGACTCCCTTACGGACCTTGACGTGGTCCTATGAGTGAAAAACGTATGCGTGCCGGCGTGCCGCCGCTTCAATACAGATCCGATGCAGACTGTATGGGATCCTGTAGAGATCCGATACAGACTGTATAGGATCCTATACAGATCCGATGCAGACTGTATGGGATCCAGCAGAGATCCGATACAGACTGTTTTGGATCCTTGTCAGATCCGACACAGACTGTATGGGATCCTGTAGAGATCCGATACAGACTGTATAGGATCCTATACAGATCCGGTACAGACTGTATGGGATCCTGTAGAGATCCGATAAAGTCACGCGGACCTTGGCCCCCCATCGGGGAGCTCCGCCGAAGGCCCCAGCGGCCGCGGCCATTTCGGCACACCCCTCACGTGGATCGTGGCCCGCCATCGGGGAGCTCCGCCGAAGGCCCCAGCGGCTGCGCCCATTTCGGCAGACCCCTCACAAGGATCGTGGCCCCCCATCGGGGAGCTCCGCCGAAGGTCCCACAGCTGCGCCCACTTCGGCGCAACACTCACGCGGATCGTGCCCCCCATCAGGGAGCTCCGCCGAAGACCCCAGCGGCTGCGCCCATTTCGGCAGACCCCTCACAAGGATGGTGGCCTGCCGCTGGGGAGCCCCGCCGAAGACCCCAGCGGCTGCGCCCATTTCGGCACACCCTTCACGAGGATCGTGGCCCCAAATCGGGTACCCCCGCCGAAGGCCCCAGCGGCTGCGCCCAAATCGACACACCCCTCACGTGGATCGTGGCCCGCCGTCGGGGAGCTCCGCCGAAGGCCCCAGCGGCTGCGCCCATTTCGGCACACTCCTCACGTGGATCGTGGCCCCCCCTCGGAGAGCTCCGCCGAAGGCCCCACAGCTGCGCCCATTTCGGCAGACCCCTCACAAGGATCGTGGCCCCCAATCGGGGAGTTCCGCCGAAGGCCCCACAGCTGCGCCCATTTCGGCAGACCCCTCACAAGGATCGTGGCCCCCAATCGGGGAGCTCCGCCGAAGGCCCCAGCGGCTGCGCCAATTTCGGAATTCCAACGGGGGCCTATAGAATTCCGATGGAGGCCTATAGGATTCAGATAGAGGCCTATATAATTCCTATGGAGGCGTATAGAATTCCGATGGGGGGGCTATATACAAGTCGTATGGAGGGCTATGGAATTCCGATAGAGGCCTATCGAATTCCTATGGAGGCGTATAGAATTCTGATGGGGGGCCTATAGAACTCGTAAGGAAATCTATAGAATTCCGATGGGTGCCTATAGAGTTCCGATGGAGGCCTATAGAATTTCGATGGAGGCCTATATAGAATTCCTATGGAGGGCCTATAGAATTCCGATGGTGGCCCAGATCGAATTCCCATGGCGGCCTATAGAATTCCTATAGGGGCCTATCGAATTCCGATGGGCGCCTACAGAATGTGTATGGGTGCATATAGAATTCCGATGGAGGCCTATAGAACTCCTATGGAGGCTCATGGAATTCGTATGGAGGCCCATAGAATTTCTATGGGGACCTATATAGAATTCCTATGGATGCCTATAGAATTCCTATGGAGGCCTATCGAATTCCAATGGGGACCTATAGAATTCCTATGGAGGCCCACCGGATTCCTATAAGGGGGGGGGCTATAGAATTCCTACGGAGACCTAAAGAGTTCCTATGGAGGCCTATACAATTCCTATGGAGGCCGAGAAAATTCCTGTGGGAGCTTATATAGAATTCCTATGGAGACCTATAGAATTCCTATGGAGGCCCATCGAATTCCAATGGAGGCCTATAGAATTCCCATGGGGGCCTGTGGAATTCCCATGGAGGCCTATAGAATTCCGATGGGGGCCTATAGAATTCCTAGGAAGGTCTATAGAATTCCCATGGAAGCCGATAGAATTCTTAGGAAATCCTATTCGGGAATCCTTGGCGCCCCAGGAGACCCCCAGAGAGGGTTGCTCGGTTGCTGGGGGGGGGGGCGGCCGGGGCTCCCACGCACGCCATTTCCAACAACAACAACAACAACAACAACAACAACAACAACAACCATTTTACCCGAACGCTCAGTGTTCTCCCCAGTGCCAGGGTTTTCTTGCGACACCAGCCAATACCCCCACTTCGTGGGGGGGCCGTTCAAGCTCTACCAAATATCCAAACGACTCTTCGAGACCACCCACACCCAGCTTCCCGCCCTATGACGTTGGGACACTTCACTTCGTGGCGTGCGGACGACCCTGGCTACTACACTGGCGTGGGGTACACACCCACAGAGGTTGATCACATCTGTTACATATGATGTGGTACACGGTACACGTGAGATGGTACGCAGTGCCAAGATAGTTGGTCACATTTTTGGGGCAAATTCGTGGGGATGCGATTACAGAAATACATGTGTTACACTGATGTTATACAGTCCCAAGGATGTTGCGCGCCTGTTGGGGCCATCTTGGGTTTTAAAGATTCATCAAGAGACCGCGAATGGATTTCGAGATTTTTCGGATGAGAAAGTAGTGCGTTTTCATATGTTTTCTGAACATCGCATCTTGAAATTATTGAAAACCCATTGTGTTTGGCAGGATTTCGACATGCGCGCGCGGCGGCCGCGCGC